AATTCGGCAGAGGAGGAAAATCCGACGAGGAGGAGGACTGGGCAGCGGACTCGACGGTGAGCTGGCGAGGATCACAGAAGTCGGAGCTGGAGGGCGGGGGAGGTAGCGAGGGGGATGTTTGGTGCAGGTGTTGGGGGTGTTGGTGATGCAGGAGTAAGGAGGTGAGGACGGGCGAAGGCGAGGGCGAGAGGGAGGGACACGAGTTAGTGGCCGTGCTAACGGAAGCCAGCCTGGGGCCGACCCTGGACAGCCCAGACTGCGGCCCCTCGCGGTGGCTGGCACCGGGTGGGCCGTGGATGAACACTGCACAGCACACAGCAAGTCAGTAAAAGTCACCCATGGATTAATAGAATAGGTTTGCTGTTGACACAGATATATATATATATATATATTTGCGTGTGAACAGCAATACATATATGGTCCTTTTTTTTTTTTTGAGGTGAGGGTGTTGTTGGGTGTTGATTTTCCTCTGGGTTTTGGTGTTCGTCCCCAACAGCCAGCCAACCCAGCCCTTTAAAAAACAATGGAACTGGTAATTAATTTCTCTTTCTCGCCAGACAAGGCCCTTCTCTTCTCCCCCATCAACACAATAAAACAATGCGTAGGTCTTAACACACCTACCGCACAATTAACAAAAACAAAAATATAAAATTGGTTGGCTTACCTGGCGTCAGCGGAGGAGAAGTCGATCGGGCCCAGTCAAGATTAGCCAGTATCTCAGTCTGCACGTCACTCTGGCACCCCTCCTTCACTCCTTCAATTGTCTCCAATTGGAAAAAGCTCCCATTCACCGGCGTGTGCAGCATCCCACAGCTCGATGGCGGGCTGCTTGCAGTGCTTCCAGAGGATGACAATGGCGGCGTCGATGGGAAGCCGTAGAGATCAGATGAGCCGCCGTTGCTAAAACTGTTGTTGTTGTTGTTGCTGTTGCTGCTGCTGCTGCTGCTGCTGCTGCTGCTGCCGCCGCCGCACGATGTGTCCAGAGGAATGAGCGAAGGCGGATCCTGGTGCAGCATCATGGTAGGTTTGATGTGCTGTGGTTGCGGTGATACTGTCGGAGGAGTCATATGCATCGTCCCATTCAGCAGGCCCATGGAGTGGTTCTGGGCCGGGAGGTGGTTGTGGGCGTATGCTGCCTGTTTATCTTCCATGGGTTGTTGTTGTTGGGTGCATTGGCTGCTGTGGTTGGTGGTGGATAGGCTGGGTTGGGTAGATTGGTATGTGCCCATTTGAATGTTGCTGTTGCTGTTGCTGTTGTTGAAGCTGATGCTGATGCTGCATCTCAGAGGGATGCTGTGAAAAGTGGCCATGTTGCCCATTGAGAGTATCCGGGTCGGGATTATAATAATAAAAGGACGAAGGAGAAGGGCCGGAAACTGGAGCTGGATGCATGGTGTAGCTAGGTTCCATGGCGTTTGATGTTCTCTGGAGTCTGCAATGGTATATCTTATCAGTCTCTCTCAACAATTGGTACAAATGGCTTTTTACTGCAGTGTCGCTATCGCCCTTGATATTGACCCCGTGTAGTATACATTTCTTTTTTGCTCAACCTTCCCGCAGTCCCCCGCCAACCACGCAAGAAAACATGAGCATACAACTTACCGATCAGTTAAACAAAGTCAGAAATTGTCTCTTTCGCGATGGAACGAATATATTAAAATGAGTAAAACGGAGCGTAATTCGATCCCAGCAGGATGTTCTAGATAAGTATGTTGAGCCTGCTTCGAACGGGGGGTGAGCAGAGATCGAAGATAAGTCGAAATAGAACATGCGCGAAACGAAGTACCAAGAGCAATAAGACAGTTAAGCTGTATAGAGGAAGATGGGAGGTAGAGATTATATTAATTCAGGTGTTTGTCAAAAGGAGTGACAAGCCGATCCGCGACTTGAAGAAAAAGAGAGTGTGAGTAAGTTGCGATTATCTCGGCGATTCGAGTCAAGTATGTATGGTATGTTTTGTATCTGTCCGGTTCGCGTTGGGATTTGGTAAAGGACCGTGGAGGTGATATGATTATCGAATAGGCATAGTACAAGATTGCAAGTATTGCGGATATCAATGTTTATAGGCGTCGATAGACGTAGTAGTCTGCTGCTGCTGCTTCTACTGCTGCGGTGTGGATGACGGGGTCAAAGGAAGGACTGGGAATGTACTCGAGCAAGAAAGCAGTCAAGCCGAACACAATCAGAAAAAAATAGAAGAGTAAATATAGTAATAATAGTAATAGTAAGTATAGAAGATATAATAAAGATACGAATTAGAAAGAATAGAAGAATAGAGGAAGAAATAAAAGGGACGGACTGAATAGCCACAAACAACGAAGGAGGGAGAAGGTGCGGGATAGAATGGAGGGAGAAGCAAAAAAGAAAGAAGACAGCCAGACAGACAGACAATTAATTAGTTGATGGATTAATTAATGAACTAATTAGCAGCAGAACAATATTTAGCAGGGCCGAGCGATGGGGTGGGCGGCGGGAAAAAAAGAGCGTGAGCCAGCAGCGATTGATGACGGGCTACGGTACGGAGTCCTGCGTATGGATGGGCAATTATTGGCCTCCCCCGTCCATGCAATGGCGAAATCAGCATTGGACGGATCCCAGGCTGACCACAGAGCACACAACAGAGGGTCAGATTCAGCCTGCACCAGAGAAGAGATCAAGAGGTCCTGAGAGAGGACAGCAACTGCGGAGAGAAACCACAGACCATCCAACCACTCCACTCCACAGATCACAGACCACACACACTCTCGCTCTTGCTCCTCTCTCAACCGGCGAGCGACGGGGACCGAGACAGGGACAGACTGCGCTGAGTGGTGCATGTGGGCTGGCCACCAAGAGTGGTGAGACCAAGGTGCTGGTGCTGTGCAACTAGCCCAGCACAAGCACCCGCCCAACATAGCGGCAAACCCAAGCGCAAGTGTGCGAACCGCATCAAGGCCCGTCCTAGGTCCATCCCATCCATCCATATGATTATCGTTGTCGCCATCCAGCCTCTGAGCCCGCAGGCCAGTGCTGCACCCACTCAGCAGAGACGCTACCGAACACCCTTGTCCGGGGCGACTGGGCGGGAGGATGGCGCAGCAGCCCCAGGAACCTTTTTTTGCTGCTGACCCCATCCCATCCCTCTGCTGATCTCAGTGATCCAAAGTGCCTAAGTGGTTGATCTCTCACCTTGCAGACAAAAGCGTGAGAGTGTGGAATTCGAGCGTCGTAGTGTCAGGGCTGGGTTGCACCCAGGTTCCCTCCATTATGGTTTCTAGTACGTTTTCACTTTCACCCAAAAAGAAGAAAAATTTTTGGAGGAAGAGCAAAATCACAAAAAAAGAAAATAAAAAGCAAAATCTAAAATGGCCTATGATAGCCTAGAATGGCCCAGAAAATGAAGAAGAGACAATAATTACGAGCTACACTACGCACAACTTACCTTCTTCTTTTTTTTTTTTTTTTTGACGGCACTTTCTGAATGGATCCAAAACATCGGGTTATCTTCTTCTGGAAATGTATGCCAGGTTTCATATTTGACAAATAGTCCCTGTCCTCCTGCTACCATTCCTGTAATCACAGGGTCCTCGAGGATGAGGGAAGAGTCAGATATTCAGTCAGACAACAGCCAAGGACCGCTTGTCCTCTCGCTCCCGCCACCCCTCGAGTCAGCTCATGAGAATATTGGTCCATGCCACCCCCAGTTGTCCGGCAAACATCAATAGACGGGCCTTGCAGGCCATGATCATTGGTGGGTTTCTAAACTTTCGGCCCCGCTCTGTTACTATGCAAACCCAGAGGGGACGACGGAACAAAATGGAACCTGCGGCGGCCCCTGCCCAAGTGGCCAGCGGCCAACGCCAAGTGGGAGATTGGGAAATCCTATGTGGCACCCCAGCTTCCTCGAGGTCCCATTGACGGATTGTTTGATTGGCGCAAACTTTGGGTAATAATGCGGAGGTTGAAACGCAGGGAAGGATTGGCTACTCGAACATTCTAAACTAGCCGCTACGCAAGGATTCTAAGTTACAATCAGACCACAAAAATCCAAACCGCCAATCAGACAACGTACGATGCCGGGCCGTGGGGACTGGAATTGTGCTGCACTTCATACGGACACGCACATTCTGGGGCAATGATGAACAAAACGAAACAGCAGGGTATAGTTATACGCGTAGTTACAATATCTGCCTACATCAACAAGAGAGAGAGAGGGAGGGAGAGAGGGAGAGAGCACTGGAAAAATTTTTTTTTTGAAAAGTGACCGAATTGGAAAGAAGATTGTCGCATACCGATCATCCAACTCCATAAGCCCGCTAGACCAAATATGAGTTTAGCCCAACCAGGCGGGAAGGGAGGGAAATATCAGAAAAAGCAAAACGAACAAGGCCAAAAAGAAGTAAAAAATAAAAAAATTATACGGAAAACTCTCAAAGAGCAGTGGAAGTTCAAGAAAAATTAGTTACCCAGTACGAGTGGTCTACAATCAATGGCTAATCGATCCGTCGTTCATCTGAAAAAGATTTCATTTTATCCGATAGTTACTGGTGTCTTGTTATAATTGCTATTCGCGGTTGCCGAAATAATACCATATGCTGGACCGTTGTTATCTTGCTAGCGTGGATTTCCAGTGGAGCAAAGCGGCGTTCTCACTGGGGGGTTTACTTTTCGTAGTTCCGGATTCATTTCTATGGATAAAGATTATGAACCGGGGCACGGTCCCGCTAGGAATATTTTAGGTTAGCGGGTTCCTGAAAACCTTCTTTTTCGAACTGAATGTGCAGGATGGGATCTTTGAGATCATTCAACTTTTTGGGTTTCTGTTCCGTTTCTTGGTGCCTGAGACGGTTGACTCGGGAATCAGGATCAGCACGCAAAACTCAATGGGATTTTTTTTTCCCTGGCAAGAAAAAGCAAGAGATCAAGAACGAAGTACTACTAGAAGAAGAAGCAGAAGCAGAAGGAAGCATCGCAATGTCGGTCCGCCCTCGCCATTTTCCTAGCTCATAAATCTACCCTAAAACATTTCCCGCTCACAAAATGTATGGAATATATCTTTCTAAAAATATAAAATTTATACAAACTGTCGAACGACAGGAAAGTCAAGCAGAATATGCAGAGCGATCACTCTATCACAATCAGAGTGGCTGCATCATAGCTCTTTTTTTTTTACCTGCATGCGCGCCTCGTAACTGGACCTTGCATTTTCTTGTCTGTTCTTTTTGCTTTTTTGAGCTTTTTCCAATTCTTCTAACCTATGGCATCTTCTGTCTACACATCCAGGCTAGCTCTCCTCGTTTGATTCGAGGATGAGCAATGCACGTCTGTCTTTTTCTTTTTTGTTTCTTGTTCATGAGAACGGGAGATTTCTTTTGCTTTCGTATTCAACGTCCGATTCTCTCTTCTGATGATAATTAACTTTCAAAATCCTTCCCGTCCGCAAGGTACATGTACTACCCAGAGACCAATAGCAGCTTGTCCCTTCGCAGCGGAGGTGATGCATTGACCCGATGTGAATAGAGAATGAGTTAACGATTTATAAAATGTGTGAGCTTAGAGGGATGAATTGACTCGTCCAAATTGTTGTTCTCTTTCTGCTTCCCTTTTCTATTTTGCTGTTCATGTCTAATCAACAAAGACATTGTAGATTGAATATTGTTCACACTTTCTAAGGATTTATGCCTTCCATGATTTGTGGTGGAACGACTGCCTGAACACTATTTTTAAGAAGGGAAAAAGACAAGCAAGGGCCACTCTCACCAATAAATAAATAGAGATATCGGAATGAAACACAATTTGCATTATTGGAAAATGTTACAAATTGACAAACCAGAATCGAGATCAGAGTCACATTGTGCCGACTTTACCACCAGCAGTGCAATAAGTTCAAGTGTGAGAGGTTGTGCACCAATTCCGACTTTCCAGGTAGGTTTATACATGTATATTAATTGAAGGTTTTAAGATCTCAATCCTGGTTAATTCAACGTGAGCCATTTCTCAGACCGTCTTCATTTCAATATCCTGGCTATGGAAGGAAAGTCGAATCTTCTACCTTTCGCTCTTCTTCCTATTGCCAGTCAGATTTGCAACCTCATACCATGCTCCTCATATATTTCTTCTGACTTAGCCCTACCAGGAACAATCCATACGTAGCGCGTATCTCAAGGCCATTAAGGCCAGCCAGAGAACTGATGGCACACCTCCTGGTATTATAAATCGTGCACATGGAACATTCAATTACATTGCAAGATCTTGGGACTTCTCTCTCCGGTATATCTATCCCTATCCCACCTATGCCCCCGCCGGTTATTATACACACACACACACATATATATATATATATACACTGTCACCATTATTAGGCCCATCACCAATTGCTATTTTTCTGACTATTCTGTTTCACGAGTGCGAGGACACCCGGATCTCACCACGTAGATATCTCATAGGCAACATGCGTAGTGCAACATACATACTGCCGTCTCCCTATGAAGTTTGTCCTCCCGCCGTATCCTTTTATCTTCTATAGGTTGAGCTTTGTTGCACGCGTGGGTGGATGCTATAAACATGTCAGATTTGCACCCTGGAAGAGATAACCAATCGATAAGAACATCTATGCCGTCATCGTAACTTTCTTTTGAAATACCCACGCACATGATATATCACATTTTTCAGAATAGTAGCCATGGAGTGTACATACAATTGCATGTTGGAAGGATGCACCGCTGGCTACCTACATACATGACTGCACAGCTTTCGCACTCGATACCTCCATTTCTTACTTCTCTACCATATCTACTAGAATGAATGGCAAGGAAACATAGAAAAGAAGAAAATAAAAAGATCGACAGGAACCATTTCCAGTTCATCGGGAATCAAAGCTTCGAAACATGGCGCCTCTTTTTTTTTTTCCCTCTTTCTCTCTCCCTCTCTGTCTCTCTTTATTTTGGGGGCATCACGTACCAATGAGCCTCTACTGTGATCCATGGTTTTTCTCTTCACTCAGCAGTGACAAAGAACCAAACTCAAGAAGGTGGTTGAATGCACTTCTTGAAGCCGCATCCAATGGAATAATTTCCTTGGAAAAGAAGCATGCATGGTCCATGGGTGATTGATGTGTGATAACATGGATTTTGTTTGGGCCAAAAGTGCTGGTTGTTCTCATTACAATCTGTAATTATCCCACGCTGGAAATATTTTTCTGACGGCTCTGGGAAAAATGAAAAAGGTGTATTGAAAACAAGCAGACAGAATTGTTCCATTATCTAGATATTGTAGATTAAATTAAATAAAGCAGTCAAAATGTAGAAAATGGACGAAAGAGGAAGGGAACATATGGGAGGTCCATATTAGAATTCAACAATAGTCGATTCCAACTGGCTTGCCTGTGGTTTTACGACCCATTTCCACAGTTATGATATAAATGATCGCCCACCAACCTATCTCAGGGATTTTGTGCGGATCGGGTAGAAAAAGTCTGGGCAAGCAAAAGATTCTGATATTATTGAGTACTTTGCAAGCTGACTGTAGTTGTAATAAAATTGAATTTACCCAGGTAATCAGGGCCCATATATTGCACTGACAAGAAACACGTATATCCTTTGAATCGCTTATTCTCACCACTCCATGCACCAAAGCCACCATTTTCCTCAGTCAGTTTCCTCTCTAGGAGAATGGATTGATCAGAAACCAAACTAAAAGCCCATGTTAAATCCAGACACACACATGGGACCTCAGGCAATGACAGGTTTGCTGTATGTATCCCGTCGCGCGCTGGAGTGTCTGGCTGCCCGTCCCGATATGAAGGACAAAGGCGGGAAAGCGGAAAAACGGTTGTGCAACGCCCCAGTCATTTTCGGCCCTGACCTAGATGGGTCCCAGATGAGAGAAAGAAAACTGCCCCTCATATATGCGGGATATGTGTTTAAGTGCAAGTTTCAAGCCTGGAGGGGCAGAGCGAGTGCATTTCGGCTGGCCTATTCTGTGTGCCAATGTCCCACTGCATTCCTTGCCCTGCTTGATACATAGATTCTCGCATTGATCAAAGGGATAACAAAACGTTTCGCAGCCCTTGCAGCCGAGTTTTCGGGTATATGAGGTTGGACAAAAGATCTCGATCATTTTTTGCTTTCGCATTCGCCTTATCTCTCCAGCATACCTATTGTTGACGAAAATATGCTGCATCATCGACATCATCGAATGGCGAGAGATGGATGTATTGTACAGGTGGGATAGTGTACGGCTAGCCTATGCATAAATGTACACTCTCGATCGCTGTTTCATCCCTGTGCTTTCATGCAAGGGGACGATGTAGGAATGTGATAAGTGCAGAGAGAGGTATCTCTTTTCGCAAAATTGAATGGGATTGCAATGAGAGATGTCTTCCGTTAGAGCCAAGTATCATTTCAAAAACCCGGCCGTAGCCTACATGATCAAGGGGCTAGATGTTCGAGGAGCACAGTCTCGCACAAGCACACCGCCAAAACTAATCCTGCCTGTTTTCGGGCATATGCATTGGTCGAAGATTTTCCAAACGTCCTCGCTTCTCCTCATTGCATGCAGATAATGAGAGGAATCAAGATATTTTATTCATCAAGCTCTGATGATTTCCAACTCTAACAAAGGAGGCTGTCCATGTGGCTGTCAGTTCATCGCTCAAATGGTTCAACGATGATGACAGATGATAAGTGAGAGTGTGTCTGCATTATTTGTCCCATTGAACGAAGATGGAAAAGTTTCATCTTCATGCCAACATGTATTTGTTGATGGCCTTGCTCTCTGAAGTTATCCCTGCCATTTTGCCGAACCAGGGCTCCTTCTCTTTGCACCAACAACCAAAATGCCTTGGGGAAATGGTTGGCGTTGACTGGTAGGCCAAGTCGCAATCCATGCCCGCGCTACTGCACGTCGACATCTGGGGAATTTTGGCGAATGCCTTGGCCCTCAGATCCACTTTTCAGCACCAAGCCGTTCGCCTTCCCTAGTTGTGCCGAAGGAGTTCAGCCGTCCCAGCGAACATGAAACATACCAGCATGGAGGAACAGTCCGTTGTCATTTTCTTTTCCATGTCGCCTGGCTCCCATCTATTGGCTCAAAACTTGACTTATTCCATCAGGCCAGTCGGCGTTTTTGAGTTCATTCATGTCTTCCGACTAGTGGAAAACACTGGAGCGAAAGTGGCATCGTGCATACAGCATTTGCCGATCGCTTGGGCGTATGTTGAAGAAGCCGAGCTCAGATAATTCCTCCGCACAGTTGCTTTTCCCTTCCTTTTGCTGCGGAAGCAAGGATTTTTTCTGCTGGACTTTTTTTTTGGCCCCCTCAGCATCCACCCACCACCCATGTGGGAATAATCTCCGTATTCCCTTCCTGCAAATTGCAGGAGCATGAACTTGTTTATTTTTATCAGGATTTAATTTCTATCCGAATCCTCACTCCTTGGAAAGTGGGAGAATTAAACGATCCGGGGAAGGTCGGTGTTAGTGAGCATGTCCATTCGAATATTCTTGATAAAGTTCAACAGTCTTTTTTTAGTTCACTGTTCGCCGTTAATTATCTCACCTTTTTGGGTTGGGTATCTGACTATCATTAAGCTTTTTGACAAGTGAATAGTCAAATCTGTGGAAAGTTTCATTCAATTGCACAAAATGGACTTCGTCCACGGCATTGTGCATGTAAATCTGCGAGGCACAGCCGACTACCATTGGACCGTCAACAATATTTTCGGCAGATTGAAACACACAACTTTTGAGGAAATAACCAAGACCCTATGTGCATCGAAGGAACATTACCGGTTGAGGGAATTGCATGTCTCTCATATCCAATAGAAGAGAATACAACACAATGCCCAGTTGGTAGGCAATTAGTTCTGCATGTACCGAATATTTTAGTTTTCTTTCTAGTGCTGTGGCTCCAGGCGCAGTTTTTGAAGGACAGGTCTTGGTTTGGATTGAAGATAGGCACTGACTGGCAACACTGGATGATGGGCCATTGCTAAAAGAAGGCGATGAGCGAGGCCGGGCGAAAAGGGCCAATATTAGCCTCGTTTCTTCTGACGGGTTCTTTGAGAGTTGTCCTTTCGAAAGAAATTAGAATATGTGGGAAATAGCCATGTCCCCACGATCACCAAAAAACACCGCGTTTGCTGCCCACGAGAGAGTCCTAGACCATATTGGACAAGCGATGACTCTCCACAAGAATGGGCGCTCAGTCGGCCCATCCAAAGAGACTCCAGCCTATCTCATTAGCCTCCACTGTAATGAACACGGGCCCACATTTTTGCTGTTCATATCTCGATTGTGGAATTATGTTCCCCGCAAACGCCTCAAAGGGATCCATCAACGATAGTTCATCACCCCTCATCTCCGGCCCAAGATATTTGGCTTACATGGACGTGAGATAACAGGAACGATGACAACGAGGCCGTTTTGAGATATTCCCAATTGCAGTTCTCCAGAACAGAGGGTTCGATTCCCTCCATCGTTCAATATAAAAAGCTTGCGAACAAATCGAGTGAATATTTTAAACGGCTCCAAAGAGCTTCGTTTGATTTCCTTCCTTCATGCTGTTCAAGGAGCCACATCGACAGTAGTCCCAGAGCCGTGATTCACGATTCCTGAATAATGCCCTGTTGTTAACCCCATAATATTATCCCTTCCATAAAAGTGAAGATTAAGGGGTTTCCCATAAAAATAACTGACCATTGAACTTCGTAGCTTTGTTGCCTAGTTTGGAGGTACAGTACAACTAGTTAGCCCTCTGTAGGTTTCCTCGCCTCTTCAATTATCGCTTTTCTTCTCAGCTCCCCCAACTGGACAGGGCGAATGATTCTGTCCTCATCTTCCCGGTGCAACGTCGCAAACCAACATGCACACTTGCTGAAATTATTTCCCTCGTGCTGCTGTAGCTACCGCATGATGTAGCAGATTCTGCTTGATCCGCTCACAAACCATTGGGTATTGAGTGCTATGCCGCAAGATTAGCTTACAGCCAGCTTTTGCAAGGGAGCGAACAGATTCCCTTTGTGTCAACTCATCTCTCTCTCTCCCTCCCTCCCCCAATTATTTACAATTTCGTAAGCTTTCTTTTTTAACCGACAAGGGTGAGCTTGCCCATGACGAATGACACGGTCTTCAGCCGGATAAACATTCTTTATTCAAAATCCAGTAAATTTTCTGGATGATAGCCCTAGGAAACGGTTCCAGTTTCCCAGGCAGAAGGGGTGAGGTGCCGCCCCTGGGGTTGATGTGGATCCATCGAACAAAGCGCGTAAGTTTTGGACTGGTTTCATATTGAGTGTAGAAGCTGCTCTTGAGAAACATTCCATCGTAATGTGCTGTAAAATGTGTGCTTGGGATCGAAGGGTAGAAATGACCAGTATCTTTCAAAAATTCGTCGAAGCAATTCAAAGCAATGGAGAAGGATAGATATCCTTTGAGAGTAACGAAGAGCAATGAGTTATGCGATGGATGTTGCGGTCCTTTTAAGGCAGCGCCGTTGTTCCATTCTCCACTTCATGATGCAACAATGGGAATCATCTCACTGCAATTGAGAGGTTCCCAGGGTGTAGAGAGGAGGGTAATCCAGAAACTGCAGTGAGGGACTCAATTTCTCTCGAAATTTGCTACTTGCCAAGAGATTAAAACAGATATTCAGCAGGTCTGATTTCGGGTGACTCTTTATAGCACCCACCCGAAAATAGCAAATATTTAATAATCAATATATGATCTAAACAGGGAAATACAAACGACTACCTGCACTGTTCCCACGGCTTCTCCATATTTGGTCCAACAGACGCCATAGAAGTCCTTGGAAACGAATCGGATATGGTGATCAATGCGGCGGAGCTCCACCCAGAACCCAAGTTGTTTTTCCCAAAGAAGGGATTTTTCTTCTCCTAGTAACTTTTTGGACATTTCCCCTTTGGGAGTGAAGCGTGGAAACTCTTCTGATCAACAATGAAAGCGTTTTCCACGCAAAAAAAAAAAAAAAAAAAAAAAAAAGAAAGAAAGAAAAAAAAAAGAAAAAAAAAAGATAGACAGAGTCTCAAGTTTTGCAGATTATTCTCCCCTGTCAGATAGAAAACATCACCAGGATATAGGCATCCACTGTCACCTCCAGACGCGAGCAAGATACGACACCACCTATCCAAGGAGGCCATCATGTTAACGAGGTATGGACGTATGGGTGTAAGTAAACTGTCTGCACAACTCAATGGCAGGAGAAATATGTAGGTGTCATGAGTTGTCAAAGAGTGTAGAGAGAGCATCACATTCTATTCTTGAACAACCCTACTTGCTGGCAGTCCATGAATGGTGGTTTCATACTGCCATCTGGGAGTTCCGGGCAATATGGAGTTGTTTTCGTTGCCAAAGCAACTACACCATCCCTAGAAGACATAGTACACAGTGACAAGGCCTCGAGGGTGAGGAAGCAAAGTGTTTGTCGACAAGAGAGACCCTGTCTGGTAAAATATATCTTAGGTTTGCAACCAACCCCGGGGGGAGAAAGGCTCACAATCCAATCGGTGGCCAGCTAGAAGAACACTCAATGTTGCATGACCCGGAGTCATGGCAACAGCATCCCTTCTGGCTGCTGATAGTGGATCCTACTATCCGTGATTTGTGTATTTCTAAGGAAGAGAATAGTAGAAAATCGGGGGAATCATAGGAACTAAAGATGGATTTTCCTACGCACGCTTCGCAAAAAGACCAGCTGCACACGCTCAACTTTATTCAGGATTTCAACATGGCCAAATGTGGTTCCATCCAGTTCTTGTGGTTCCTCACCTCTAGATGGTTGAGAAGTAGAGGGAACAACTACTATCAACCAAATACGGCCAGACATCCAGGCAGGAGGTAGGTCCGTCAGAAGACGACCTATCCAGGACCCTGGTTGTTGTTCTCATGCGTTAGTTAGGGTCAAAAGTATGATTTGAGCCCTCAATGGCTTCAGCGTGAATATTTGGTTATCAAACCAGATGTAAAATGATACACAGAAACTTTCTGAATTAAAATTTAAAGTCAAGGGAACAAAATAGTATTCTGATGGTTCGAAACCGAAGAAACAGAGATAGGAAAGTAGAGGGAAAAAAATATCGATCCGATCGAGTTGGTTGGAATAAAACCAAATCAGGCCTCAGAGTGTTGTCAGTCGATATCAAGCTCTCAAAAGAGAGCAATTCATCCTCTTCCTATATATGTATTGAGATACACGACCATGGCCGCATATCACTCATCATTGACCACCGTAGTGGGAAAAAAAGAATGAGAAAGGAAGAGAAAAAAAAAGGGAGCTAAAATAGTTGTGGAATTTTCCTTCCTTTCGCTTGAACGCAGCTACGTCATGGGCTTGGTTGAGGTGCATAGATGATTTTATGAAACTCCTCTTTCCCAACCAAGGGGAAAGAAACATGTCGAAACTATTGAAAGAGCGAAAGAGGCGATATCGAGAACCTGAGGGTGCACATGGATTCACTGGCCTTGTGTATTTGTCGACATCGACTTGATATTTATTTTACTTGTATTTTATGAGAACTCGCTAAAAAGTAGTCTCTCGGAAAAACTGCATCCCGGGCTCCGATATAAAAATTCCTTCCCTGCCACTCTTTTGTTGTCCTTCTTTTTTCTTCTTTTCTCTCTTCGTGCGGCGACGCAGCCTTTAACCCGTGTTGCCTAGACATCAAAAAGCCGTCGGGCTTTTTATTCGTGATGTTTGATTGAGTCAAAAAATCCTTAGGTGTCGGCTGCGTCACAGAATAATGAAAATTGCACTTCGGTTCTTACTTTACTGGCTGTTTTGTATTCTCTTTCTCATTGAGGGAATGGCCATTTGGTTTGGGATCGAACAAATCTTTCTGTTTTTAAAAGTCTGCTTTCCCGTAGTCATACTGTGCCGGAATCTCCTGTGATGCAGCGTTTGGAAGAGTGAAAGCCAAACCTCAAGGCATGCTTTACCAGAGCCGTTTACACAAGTAGTGGTATTTGAGAGCATGATTGATGATGATTCGTAGAAGGAAAGTAGCCTTTGGAATGAATAATCCGATTCGTGTCTCATTTCCATTCCCGCAAGGCTTTTCGAAGATAAAACATAAATGCTCGATGAACAATTATTTTGATACAGGACGAAGTAAACCCGATATCTTTCACGACATCCATCTTGCTTGTATATAAACCACAAACGCATTTCTCCAGTTTACTCTCCCGGTTCATCCCCAATTTTTTCCAGCTTGCCCAGCTCCCTCTTCTCCCCAGCTTCACCAAATAGCCTCAGCCTATCCACTCGGATCCTCTCACGATCCCCATCTCCGTCTACGAAGTATACCACAAGCGACATTATGCGTTGGAACTTGACAAATCGCAGCTCGACAGTTGCCGTTTTCGTCTCCTCATCCCAATCTTGTGGCAACAACTCTATCTCTTGTGTCGGACTGTCTTCATCGGCGTCTTCAAAGCCAATGATATGCGCACGATTTGCATACAACTTCAAAGTCTTGGGCCGCATTGGCACGTCATCATCACTTTCGCGAGGTGCGAGAGAAGTTATCTGTAATGAATGAAGCTTAATAGACGACTGGAAGGGCAAAAATAGCATCAGCTGTTCGTCCGTATCACTCTCCACCCAGTCCGGTGTAGCGGAGGCCTTATCTTTGCCATTCCCACTACTCTCGGCACTAGAGAAACCAGAGGGCTTTTCTGCTGCGAATAGCGATCTTGCGGATCCGACCTGGTTGTCGTAGTTGAGAAGATCTATGCCTTTGATTTCAACCTCGCCAGAGACATCTGAATAACCCTTCGGAACACTTCCACCTAACCAACGTGAGCCGTTGCCGCTAGCCTCGCCTGCAGTACCAGCTGAGCCGTCACCGTTAGATCCAACACTCCTGGCGAATTCTTGGATTTTGGATGTGAGTAGTTGCGCGTTTGCGCCGCGGATTGAATGGGCGACGGCGCCATTATTGAAGATTAGGAACGTGGGCATGCTAGAAAGCAATCGTGGATATGCAAGTTAGCTGTCAATCTCTTGCGATCAGAGTCGTTGGTAATGAGGAAGGCAAGTGAAGGTGGTGAAGTAGGCAGCGTGCAAGAGCCAACACAAGATGCAAGAGCCAACACAAGAGAACAGCGATAGATAGATGAAAGGACAGAAGGAAGTCGCCATTGTTGCAACTTACGCACTAACTCCATAGGAGGCTGCTAATTCCTGATTCGAGTCGACATCGACCTTAGCAAAGGATATCTTCGTCGGGCTGGAAAACTTGTTTGCCAGTGACTCGAAAATTGGTGCAATCACTTTGCATGGTCCGCACCAGTCTGCATAGACTGTCGATGAAATAGAAAAGGCCAATGTTAGTACTGTGATACAAATTGATTTTCCCATCTGTGCTCGACTGGTGCTATAGCAATCCAGAAGCGCTGACGGCTTGTGGGGGAGCACAGTTAAGGGAGGGGTATGGAGGGGTTGTGATTGGAGCGCGTATAACCTACAATCTACCACGACAATGGAGGACGACGAGAGAAGTTCCGCTAATTGGGTTTGCGATGATATGTGAACGATCTTCGGCATTTTGGGCGATGGGGAATGGGAGTTGATGGGTTAGGAGATCGAGTAGTGATGAGTTTTGTACTTGTAGATGAGAGGATGAAGTTGTTCGAAGTGTTGCCTACGTATTTGGGAAAACGTTCTCCACCCAAGTCTCAATGTGGCAAACGACCAACAACTGCAAACCATACGAGTATGTGACAGGAATGTATTCTTAACCCTTCTTGGTTTTACTTGAACTTGTGATAGTGAAGTATTAGTATTCTTAAGAAGCAAGGAGAACAAAACGAACCAGTATATGTGCCCCTCTACTGTTCGGAATATATCCAAAAGGCAGGAGTGAAGTGTCTTTATCGTTGAGTACAAATACAATTCGCTATATATCATAGAGAAATGTCTATATAATTCATCTCAAATCCATTTTCACTCCGGGTGTATTTAGCGGAGGCGTTATCTACAATGACCTTGTATGCACACTCGAAGTCTGATCGATTTAAGGGGGGTGAGGGCTGTTGCCAGGGGAGAGGATATACCATACACAGGGTAGATACGTCTGAATTGCCAGGAGCGAACATACCTGAAGGAGTGATTTACGTATCAGCATATGGCTCTCTGTTTGTCACCTGAGGAAGGTCGAGTGGCTTGCAATGCGTTGCATCAGGCATTTCCTCAAATGTGCCACCGACGATGGCCATAACTTCCTCCACAAATTAGATTTTGTACACGAATTGACCTCAGCAAGCCGCCCCATGCTGCAGGTGCACCGTTAGATGGGGTAGTACGTGTTATATGTGGAGTTCTGTTGTAAGCCGGTGGAAAGCAAGTCCTTCTAGGTGAAGGTGTAGACATTGTGCCATGGCCAGACACTACGGTGGTTTGTAGATTCCCTCGTATTCCATCAGTCCTGAATTGCCAGTTTCCTTCATGGTATCTGCTCATTTTCCATCTCGCCCCCGCCGCCCTCGTCGCCCTCGTCGCCCTCATCAACAGCAAACACAACTTTAGCCCACAAACTGCAGCCACGACACCCGACAACTACCTCCCCCCTCTCCGCTTCCCTCTCAAGATCCTCTTCCAACACCAGGAAGCCCCTCTCCTCCCCACACCGGCAAGGATGGTACCATATCCCACCGCTCTTGTCGTCGAAGCTGGTGCCAGGATCAGAACCGATAATGCTACTCCCCATAAGATGCATATCGTCTAGATCGAAAACCTCCATGCCTGTTCTAAACAGTATACCATCGCCATCGCCATGCCCATTACCATAGCTGCTGCTATTTATCCCTAACAAACGGAGGGAGCAGTCATATTCAGCCCGTAAGGCTGGGTCCGAGAGAACTTTGTATGCCGTAGTTATTTGGTCGACTGTGTATCTGAGTGGCGGAGCATTGGGCGGTGGTGGTGACGGGTGCAAGAGCTTTTCTGTGCTGGCTGACGTCGAAACCTTGGTGGCTACACTGGATGCTAGCATCGCCTCTCTATGGTTTATGTATTGCGAATCAGAATTTGTACAGTTGCTGGTCCCGTTGGCTTGGGGAGTAGTACTGGTTGGCAGGGTCCTAGCTTTGTCTGGATGGTGTTGGAGTAGCGCGCGATGATAAGCTAGTTTTAAATCCGGTTTGATAAGACGGTAGGGAGGTGGGTATGGAATGTTGAGGATTGAGTAGTGAGTTGGTGTTGTTGTCATTGTCGTAACGGTGGAAGACGGGGGATGGTGGGGAATGGTGGGTTGGGCGTGCTGGGTGAACGATAAATGGATGGATAAATAATATCTTGTTCAGGCTCAGATGTTATTTGCCCCACATGAAATAGGTTGTTCAACGTGGACTGGAGATGCTGGGAACTTCCTTTTTTCTTTATTTTTTTCGCTTTTGCTTGAATTGAATAAAATACTCTTTGAAGAATAATACCTGATAGGGTTTTAATTGTTTACATCTTGATTGTGTTGAATATAGGATCAAATATATCAAGCACCAACCATCAACCTTAGCGCATTCTGCGCACTTCCCGTACTTCCCACTTCACTTGTTCGGTCCCTCTCCAAATATTTTTCCTGCTCAAGAACGACGCTAGAAGATGACAGGTATCGTACAAAGGTGGAACGAGGAGGATCCTCGAAACCGAGGTGAACAGGAGTAGAGAGATCTTTGTAATCTAAAACTGAATAGAACAGAACTTGGTAAAATACTACTAAGACAAAAAAAAAAAGTGAATTTAAAAAATCATAAAAAGATATTGACAGAGGTGTGCCACAAAAAACTGATTAGATTTATCAAGGAGTAGAAAAGGATCGATCAAGAGGAAAAACTGTTTCGCTTCGCTGTTAAAGAAGTCACAAAGCGGCTAATTCAGTCGTGGGAAGACTTGAATCGTATGCGATCTTCAGCCTTGGAGGTGAAGGGAACGCCAAGCTCGAGGAGCTTGACGAACGCATCCGAGAACTCCCTGAAGAATGCGTCACTGTCCTTGGCATATCGTTCGACGTGCTTCTTGAACTCCTTGTCTTTTACAAGGGCCATATCGGTAGGAAGCATCATCAGAGTTTTGGTGGTATTGTCGGTGAATTGGGCAGGACCGCTCCACTGGAATTTTGGTTTAGTCAGTTCATGAATCGAAGAGCTATTTGACTGAATATATATTTGCATTTTTGATTACCTTCTTCCAGTTCCATTTCTCCTCAACCAGCAATCTGAAGAATTCGTTGGTGAAGACAGTCGGGCTGAAATCCCACGGGCCGTCATAACCAGACCGGTCAGGATGGGCACGACCAAGGGAGTGAGCGCCGCTGAGGGCGACCATTTCACGATCGTCAAAACCCATGCGTCCAAAGATATCTCTGATATGTCTATGGTCTTTGGAAGCATCAGGAAGACGTCCGTCAGGTGTGCAGAAGGTTACATCCCTGTCTACGCGGCCTGGGCGCCACGGAATCTTCGGCCCTTGCATTTCCTGAATGGCGCAAGCACCAGCAAGAGTCCAAAGATCGGAGTAGGAGATCCAAGGGAATTTAGCTAATATGCAGGTTAGCGAAGTGAATCGCTACGAAACGTTATGAATGTTATGAAAGGGCCTTTTGTTTTATGCTCCTTACCCTTGACCGGCTCGAGGAAATCCCTAGCAGCCTTCAAGCCAGCGTTCGCCGAATGGTCGCCTTCGGGAGAGAAGCGCATAGTGGCGCCATTACTTCCCCCAGTGCCACTTGTCTTATCATAGGTGCCGCTCGCGTGCCATGCCAATCGGACAAGAACCTGCTCAAAAACAAACCATAAATTATAAAATGCTACTAGGAATGAAGGCTGAGACGAAGTTTAGCTCACCGGTCCATAGCTTCCGTCATCATAGTCGTCTTTTTCTACCAAGAGCTTCGCGATTTCATCGTACACCTTCTGGTAATCGTCCTTGGTTGGAGTGAAAGACGCTGGTTTGGCAACAGCTTTCAGTCCATCGTTATTCCAGTAGTAGAAGGCACCAGCACCTCCAGCTAGAACAGCACCCAATCCAAGATAATAACCGGTAGAAGACTTTCCTGCTTCAGGACCTGAGGAATACCCCCTGCGGGATCCACCTCGGAAGCTTTGGGAGGGAAGGGCAAAACGGCCTGCATGACGACCGGAAGTTCGGATGGATGAAGAGGTGCCGCTCGCAAGGGGAGCACGAGCAAAAGCCCTGGTGAAAGTTCTAGCCGCAGAAGCCATCTTTCGTCTTTGGAGAATAGAGCAGAGCCGATTAGCAGATCAACTAACGATGCTGAAGTAAAAGTTGAACTCAGTGAGGGTATGAGGACGGGAGACAGGGAGAACCACAAGGGGATCCCGAGGCAAAAAGTGATTAGTCATTCAAGGTGCCTGAACAGGGCGCGTTTAAGCTGGCCAATAGAAGGTTCGAGAATTACACCGTTTACAAGAACCCTACAAGTCAACTCAGCTGATTACGCTAGAGAGTCTGTGCCAAGACAAAAAAAGGGTCAGTTGGGCCAAATACTTATACAGTATAATACACATATAATACAAGTTTTTTGAACTTATCTAGTTATCAACTAGTATTCAATAATATAGTATTATTGTCATTGTTGCTGTTCTGTAAAAACAAGAGGTGAATGCCAATCACGTGACCACGAAGATCACCAAGCGGCCTAAATGAGGTTGCAACGGAGGCGACAACAAGATATATATATGCTAGGGGCAGGCTGCCCCCTTCTGGGGATGAGGTGGGCAAATGAACCTCTAGATCCCAGGGATGAAGACATCTTTAATTCCTTCAAAGAGTTGGAAAGCTGAGGCACAACACTCAATAGCAGGAGCTTCATTAAACATGCAGCTAGGGTGGGATGGAGCAATAAGCTCGAAAGTTGTATACTCTTAGATATCATATATAACATCAATATATATCATCATCGATATGTATCATTACTAGATATCATCGCAGATATCATTGATAGATAGGTGATGTTTATTCTCATTGAGATTGATTGGACATTGAGCAGGCAGGGTGGTTGATAGATAGAGAGGTAGCTAGGTAGCTAGCTATCTAGCTCGCAATGTCTATTCACATAGAGATTGATTGGCTATCATGCAGGTAAGTTGGCAGGTAGATAGGTAGCTACATTCTCTACTCAGTTGGCAATTGACCAGACATTGTGCAGGTAGGTTGGTAGCTAGGTTGCTTGCGCTTTTAGAAAATTTGTCAGGTGCAGGAGGGGTAACACCGGACCCTCACCTCCATTTACCAGGAATGACACCAGCGTCATCTGCTTGTTGTTTTAGCCTGCTGTATGACAGTGCTTCCAGGAGATATTGGCAGCACTGAAGAATTGAAAAAAAAAAAAAAATGGCAGTTGGTAATTTATTCGATGGATGTGTGTGCAAGTTTAAGCAGATACTGTTGAAGGCAACCATTTCGCTGTCCAACCGCAAGAGCTTACGGCCTTTGGGCAAATCCTTCCTGAAGCATTGGCTTCATGCAGGTTGCCTTAAATTATGCTTAAAATACGTCTTACAACAAATCAACTATCAGCGGATGAGACTACAAATAGCGGTCTGGGAAAAATTCGTCAGGCGATTTACAAGGAGAAAGTACTTTTCCCATGGTTGAACATCCTAATAACCTCATTCAGCGCCGTGACGGAGATGCCGGAATTAGCCCGGGTATATAGGGTGAAAAAGTTGTATATTGTAAGCACTCTTCATGATATTCTTCTTCCTGATGTTGATTTGCTAGAAAATAACCTGACCTAGATTGGCTGCGGTTCACTTCAAGGAATCTTCAAATGTGAAAGCCCAGTGCCGGTCTGACCACACTGAGTTTTTTTAAGGATACCATGGTGATGGCACGGGGCTTGAAGAGATAATGGTGGAAGATGGGCTGTCGAAGCACGGACCGTGGAAGAGCAGTATCCGGAAACTCGCGTGCAAGATACAGAATGAACAGGGAATGGGTCATTACTTCACGAATATATATACCCGAGAATAGGCCCAACGGGGAAAACAACATTGACAATTATCGAAATATTCCTTCGCAAAACGTTGGGTTCGGCCGACAGGGCTGACTGGAAACATGCTGTGCAGGTCTATGGAAACGTTTGTAAAGAACTTTGTATTTGAAAAGAGGTTTCGGACAAAGTTATAAGGTCGCTACGGGGAGTGAACGTTGATGAATGGAGAGGAGCAGCTTACTTGCAGCTGCTGATGTCTTAGACAAGTGAAGCCTCGGTCAAATAAACAGTTTCGAGCATAGAAACTCAATCGAAACAACATTTTATTTGTTTCAGCGCATATTGTGGATGACCCATATTATGGTTAAAAAACAACAGTGGATCCTTGGTTATATAACTACTACGGCTGCCTGTAAAACTCGGTTGCGCAAGAGCGCTCTTTCTTAGGAAAAATGTAGAGCAACCCTGAGCATTGTTTTACGATCAGAACAGGCTTTCCTCAAATCAACCGTTATACTCTCGAAATGTTGATATATGAATTTATGCTGCTGCTAGCATCATGGCATTCTGGATAAAGAGTTTGTACCAGCTCTCAAGACAGCATCAAGTAAGATAGGAGTGTCTCTCCACCATTTGGAAAAGCCTGACTGCGGGTGTCTCCATGTTGCTTTGGTCCACATATGGGCCTAGAAGGATCACGACGGGCCCCTGATTCCAAATGCTCCATTTCCAGACCACTCCCCTGATTTCGACTCTGAGATGTGTTTATCGCTATCTCGAGGTGCAGTTTTTTGAAGCTTATCCCCATTATAATGACACTTGAATAGACACACACCCTGGCTGTCCCAAGCCGTCCAAAGTGATGCCCCAGATATTATTAGTTTCGATTCAATTATAGGGATATGGTATTCCTTTTTCTTCCTTCCCTTCCCTTTTCTTTTTTTTGCTGACGAATATGCGCAAGGCAGCATATTGGCTAAATATTGTGGATACTCTTCCTTATCCTCTACTTTTGTAACTTGTCGCGAACTTGGACTTTTTGAAATATTTTGCTCTACAAAGATATCAATTTTGAAAGAGGGGAAGGGATCGAAAGGGCAGGAATGGAGTGGGCTCTAGATTTTATGGTGGATTAGGGGCAGGTTTCAACGGGTGCATATGTATATCTCACCGCCATTATCAGCGGGGATATCCTTTGACTGGATGCACTTTGTACGATTGTTTGTTGCATAGAATTAGGAGGATGGAATATATACTTTTATTTCTCATCAGAAATACGTTCAAAACCGCTCGTTAGTACCATGAGACCCCTAAATGATCGAGATGGCAGGAAGATTTGCAGTCGCTATATCCCTCCAGCAACACCGCCGCTTCACTTGATGCACACATACTCATCTCTGTTCCTTTATTTACTATAAAGGCCAAGTTGTGCTAGTGAGGAAAGGCTTTGTTTCAACCACTGCACCAATTCTTTGTGTCTTTTGGCTCTAAAATTCAGCCCAAGACATGTCCTGCTAAAGGCATTTTTTGCAAAATTTTCATCCCAAACACTTTCATTACGTTGCTATCCGAACGACAAAATGCTGATTGTGGCTTCCAAGTCCTCCCAGCCGTCTCGAATGAACACCCATCGGTGGAATATCTCACCGCGACGTGAGAATCCACCAACCCGAGCCAGCGACGTATTCGCTTCCCCTTAGCAATATCGAAGCCCAAGGATTTTATGGACGTCATTTCCTAGATGGTGGAAGTTTGTGGGCAGAATGACGCAGGCGGCGGAATGACTCAGGCGGTGGAATGACTCCGAATGAGTGGCCTATTGGTGAGGTTCGGCTTAAGGAAAATTTGTGTGTTGAATCATCTCAAGATTCGAGGTTGAGGAGCGTTGATATGACGCTATCATTTGTGGAGCTTCTGCTAAGCGCGGCTAGTGGCCCAAGTTTAAAAAATTTTTTATATCAACTTCACATCTTCTGAGCTTTCCGGCATGGAGCACCCAAGGTGCTTATAGTGGAGTCCAACACTGTAACTCCAAGTGGTGTGGGGGTGTCGTTTCAGACTCATTTTCTCGTCGCACAACGGGTTGCTCTCGGGTTTTGAGTGATGTGATCACGACGAGGCCGAATCCGTGTAGGAAGGGCGCAAACCGTTCTGAGGGATCAAGTTGCGCTAGCAGCTTAACGTGTTGAATGAGAGTAGTCTTTTCGGGATCGCAGGAATCCACATCGAGTTGACCGATGTCGGCCCTAGGGACGCTTCATGTCTGCGTAAGAGAACACCAGGCCTCGGTTTCGGCATTTGCTGAGAACTGTGGAGATGATGACAGAAAGAGAATTATCTCGGAGTGCCTTGCCGGGGTGCCCTCGTCTTGATGAGGGTTCAATGCCAAGGTAAAAAGGGAGTAATTAACAGTGGCATCTTCTGGCAGTGTGGCGGCTGAGGTCCAGAAAATCGATGCCCTGTTCACAATTCGTCGTTGCGATTTTTCATTTCATCTCATTTATTCATTTATTTCAGGGAATCTGCCTTCTTAGGTGTGCCTTTGACAATGATCTAGGACAAGGCTCTGGGATTCGAGGAAGAATTGACTAAAGATCGACTTGCAACTGCTGATAACATACCATAGGAAGTTTTCGCTGGATTAGCGAAGAAGGCATTAAAATGCAACAGTACCCAAAGCGTTCGCCCTGTTCTCGCCTCACATAAATCACATCAATTTTGACAGAGGAGGAAAAGGATTATATTCGTGTCGAACACCCATTATCTGAACTTCGACCCCGTTGATTTTTGGGTGAGGCTCATTTCTACCAGAGGCATTCTTTTGTTCTGCTAGTAAGGCGTGACCGCTAGATTCTGCGGAATCCTTATCATTGTTTGCCCCAAGCCAGCAGACCTTCATACCAACTCTTCCAGTTAATTTTAGCAATGAGTGATGACCCAGCCCTGTTAACTGCTGACTAACTAGCAGGTTGTTCGAAATGGCCCCAGACGTGGAATTGAGCAGGGCAGAATGGACGGAGTATCCAAGATAACATCTCCCTGTCAAATTTAGGAAAAATTGAAGCCAGTGCCGTGAAGGTTCGTCACTTAAAGTCGTATTCACGGAGGGACGATGCTGACAATGCACTTAACCTCTAAGAGGGGCCTCACAACCACTTTTGCCTTGCCAGCGAACACTTCTACCTGGATGGACGCCTTACTCCAAAACAACGTTTGATAGGTTTGATCGAGCCCGTCTTACGCTCGAACATTCTATCCTTGGGGACAATTCGCTTTTTTTTTAAACTTGGTCTCCAGAGTTTGGGATTGCAGCTATATTCGTGGCTAGACTATGGGAGCTATTTCAGCGGACTGCTTTTAGGTGTTTTCCTTTTGTTGAAGAGCTATTATCCTCGGCTTCTGGAGTGGTGGGCTGATTTGGCTTTCCATCTCCTTAAAATGTCTCCACTTGCGGACTGAGGAGTGAGGCGTTCTGATGCCCAACGAAGTGATGGACGTCCGTTTTTCCCGCATTCTCTTTTTTCCCTTTCCATTTTTTCTGTGCTATTCTTCCTTACTCTCTCGATTCTTCACATTTTTGCTCCCTTTCCCGTACTGATAGAACTCAGCTCGACTTTGCAAACTGATATATCCGGCATCTGGCCTTTGTCCTTGAATTTTTGTGGTGTTAATTTACCTTTAGCTGGTCAGAATATTTTGCACTCATCCCTTGCTAATAGAATCACCCGTCTGACCCAAGAACGTTACGCCTCCATCCTCAAGACCACCATGAGCGACCCTTATTTGAGTTTACCTCAGAGCGCAAGAAATCACTCGTTTGCCGATATTTCCCAAAGCAAGGATGGATTGATTGAGAGGGGAAAATGGAAACCTGTTGCTCCATCCATGCGTGCTCGTGGCATGGATTCTTACTGCGATGTAGGGGATGCCCAATCCATTACAAGCCAGAGTTATGCCTCGAAATTTCCCACTCTTACTCAACATGACTCAAATAGTCACTTTACAACTGGTCTCGCGAAGACCCCAGCTACCCAATCCCAATGTCCAGAAGGATATTGGGAAGGGACTTCGAACCATTCCTCAGTTGCTCCGGAGTTTTGGTCCGGTGCGACTTCCGGAGCAACACTTCCTCCCGGCCTGCGAAGAGCTGAATGGACCCAAGGTGGATACAATTTTGACAATGCCTCGCCCATGCCATTAGGGATTGATAACAATTTTGTTCCCTTGGATGATTCGATAAGTGGTTTAGGGGTTAGCTGCTCCAGCCGTAGAAAATACATAGGGCGTCTAGCAGAGTCTGGTTATCCACCAGATCTGCCGAGGTCGGCTATGTCACTCCCATATAATGGGTTGTCTGCTGGTCGTCGTGAGTATGGTATACCTGAGCGCCATAGAATCACAGATGCCGCTCTCGCAAGACACAATTCTCAGCTTGTTTCTGGCTTGGTTGAGCAACAGGGCACTCGAATGCTCAACGATGGATGTCAAGATTTACATGGCTCGCATATTTCGCGTGAATTTGTGGATAAAAGGAGACCCCAGCAAACTGCTAGTTCGAATGAGTTCACGAGGCACATACGTGAAACACCGAAGCAGAAGAGTTGCTGGCAGTGTCGGTTTAAACATGAACGGGTATTTAATCTGTATTACTGTACTCAACAAAATATCTGCAATCTAATGTTAATTTGCCTTGTAGTGTACCGGAGGAACGCCTTGTGATAGCTGCCAATCCATACTCGAAGGCAAAGGACCGTATCGCTTTACACCTGGTTGTTTTAGAAATCAATTGGAAGATTTTACTTCACCATTTTTCCCAGGTATGTCAAACCTCAGTCGGATGTAATGTGACTAAAGCATCTGATTAACATTTATTAGCCACATTGCGACAACAATTATCTTGTAATTGGCCATATTATTATGAAAATGAGTTTCGGAATGGATTACCTGCGACGTTCATTATCCAGCTTAGTGTTGGGTTTGGCGAACCTATTGATGCTCTTGCGAGAATGTTTGATGACCAGGGGGATTTGATTGGAAGATCCCAGAGAATTGCAATAAGCAAGGAAAAGTCAAGCGTCGTTTCTGAAGATGTCCTCCCCATTCTACCGGCAGGCAATTTAAAAGATTTGGTTAAGAATATTAGATCTTGGATTGACCGGGGGGTCCGAAGACCGGATTTCTTTTTTTCGTGGGTTAATACTACGGGCATGAACGAGATTCACGGTGATGCGGGCTGTGGGATACTGCGCGCGATTTACCACTATTTGACTGAGTGCGGAACTCACTTAAGTCCATCCGCCATGTCAGAGACATCCGCGAAGAGAGCTGAACCTAGAACTGACCCTAACGTTACACTGCTAGATGCTATGAAGACGGCTATCCTGAGGACTATACTTTCGACTTGCATAAAGATCACGTCGACAGGCCTCAAAATCCTTCAGGAAGTATTTCAAATGAAACCTGCCGAATTGTCTCGAAAGTGGATGATACCGCCTCTGATGAACAAAGCGTTTAAGTGTGCGGTTTTTCAAACCTCGGTTATCTACAACAAGCGTGCGCTTATTGGACTTGACAGGCTGCTGAATCAAAAAGACATACCGGAAGGCCACGTTGGCTCTATTGTTACTCTCCTTGCTTCTGCAATGAATTCAACCCAGCTTTCACTAGTTGACCTTTGTCGTATAACAAAGGGAACTGAAGAGCCTGTTACGTATGAGCAGGTGAAGCCTGAAATCTTGGAGCTGGAAGACGTATTCTCTAAATTGTGTTGTCTTTTCCATCGAAAGTACAAAATCGAAACTATCAAGTCAGAACGACGATATAGAAGGCTGGACAAGAAGACGAAGGATTTGGTGGATAGGCTCTCAAACGCCATTCCTGCTTTAAGGAGTGAGTTAATAGTGAATTTTTGCTTAGTTCTCTGTCCTCCTTCCGTGACACACCCCATTCCAGTAGAGAACTAACTGCTTTTCCATAGCGAGTACACGTCATATCCGCGATCTCAAGTTTGAAAACATGGAATATATCCACGACTTCCCCCCCGGACACAGTGTAGATAAAATTGCTACTTACTTCAACACTGACCGTCTTTTTTGTGCATTGTGGGCTCCCATGTTGACTGGGAACACCCGCAAGCGTAAGTGGCAGCGTGAAGGGGATTTGGGTATACAGACCAATTAACAAAAACAACTGTGGTGTATGATTCCGACTGTCCTCAACGTTTCCCTTTAAATTCAGGGAGTTACGTGCGGGTTCCAATTTTTTAATTGGCTGCACATAACTACTTACATAACTACTTGTTGATTTGGAGGATTAGCAGAAGGGATTCCTCTCCTGCATTTCTATTCTCTATAATTGTTGTTCTTTGAAGGTGGATTGAATCATTTCTGCCCACCCTGCTCAAGCTTTGATGCTGTTCTCCTCTTTTTCCATGCTGTTTGATTATCACATTTTGATTTTGCGAAGATTGTCTAATGAATGATTCGCCTCTCTAACTTTTTTGTTGCTGGGATAACATTAATTTGTAATTTAGGCTCGGTCCGTCTGCTGTTCAGAGCGTCTAGAATGCTGTACGTCAATCTATTACAAAGCTTTTATTAGTTGCATAAATAAATATAGCTTATTATATTGTGAAAAAAGATCTATTCTGAGAATTTATGTCTAAACATAATGAATAGGCAGTTGCTGATATCGGTGTACATGTGCAATAATGTCCGTCATATTAAATAGTCCTCGCCGTTCGGTGGGTGCCTGGAACGGAAGGGTGGAGTAGACGACAGTCTCTGCTAAAAAACTGTTATAGGCTTGATCTTCCACTTGATATGTAAAATAACGAAGTATGCATGCGATGGCCATTGAGAGGTGGCATGATGCTGGCAATGCTGTGGTTTTCTGTACGGGGTTCTCTGTTTGTTTATTATTCCCAACCTAACTATTTCTTTCTAATATCCTGCCTGATTTCTCCAATTCTTGGACCATTGTTTAAGCAGCCTCCTGTAAAATTTGCCCCATTAGGTTATCGCCGTGATCAGAGAACCGTGAATAGGGGAATGAGAGGATGGAAAATTGGAGCAGGTAAGGGAATGAGTATCTGAAAGCGTATAAAACAGCCAGACCAATTTATTAAGCCTGACAATCATCATGATCATTAGTCTCCATGAAACAGGAAATACTGTGGAAACAATGCTAAGGTCGAGGATAGCCAGGAGGAAGCGAAGAATGTTTGTTCACGGAAAAGATTTTTTAAAGAGTTCGACTTAGCGTGATTGGGCGGGCCGGAAGTATTTCCGAATATCGCTCCAAATACAGACTAGCGCATCCCATTGTCTTTTCTATTTGGCGCGACGACATTGTTCTTTTCTTTTTCCTTTTCCTTTCTCACACTTTTATACAAACCTTCTGAACGCATAATCAACCTCCAGTTTCTGGTTTTCTTTCTCAGGAAACCCTTCATAGGATGGCTAGGTCATATTGGCGTACTTGAGTGAACTACGGGCATTTTTTGGCTTCGCGACCGTTGTGCTCACTTCGTGTGCCCACGTATATGGTCGACTTGGAGTCACCTGCTGCCCTAACATACTTTTCAACTCTGTACTATGTTGTAGTACTCCGGCTAGGCTCGCACACTTAAAATTTTGTCTGGAGCACGTTGCTATACGCTTGACATGAAATCAATGGCCCAATGGCCCAATGGACAGATAGCAGCTTACGACTGTGCTGGCGAATTCCTCAATTATAATTTCATCATTCCGACTATTGGAATATATGTTGAGTAAAAGTTTATTGAAATGAGATTGACTCTGAATTATTTTCATTTCATCTAACTATTTATCCACCGTTCTAAGCACTTAGTAATACAAGATTTGAAATCAATAGCGAAAACAAGAGTGTAATGCTGGGGTATCTGTAGTAAAATACAAAAAGTAAAGCCAAACCACATGCCAATGAAGATTCTACAAGAAAGAAAACGATTGGCTTAAAATGCAAGAGCCAGTTCGCCCTGTCACGAAAGTCAGAACAATCACGAAGGGAAAGCAGAGATGCCAACCCGGATATGAGGAGATAAACCCAAAGTTTAGGGAAAGGTAAAAGTAAGGCGAACACTTCGTAGTAATTAGTGTAGAGGGGCTCATCTGCTGGGTGCAATGTCAGAGGGTGAGCCTTTTAAATTGTTATAATAGTATATTGGACGCGTACTCATCAGCCATATCGGTTTCTGCAAACTCAAGCCATTTACCGGATATGGACCGTTTCCAGAATCTAACCATACCATCATCACCAGAAGAAAGGAGGCAATCTCCTGTTGGACCAGTTAGAATTTGGAAGGACAACCCGTATGTCATAAAAATATGACCGTGGCTCCAGGATTGTTCCGAATCACAAGAACTGGGCAAAGAAATGCTACTCACCTGCTTGGGAAAATTCCACCTGCCACACGTCCAAATGCTTGCTATCAATTGATGCGACTTCTTTGTATGTGTGGTTGAAAATTGCATCTCCACCCCCTTGCCGATTCATCAGTGTAGCAGGTAAGCGGTTGGCAAGAGCCGTACCAATACCCGACTGCGTAGATGTTCGACCAGTTGGTGAGCGAGGGGGCCCCAAGGCAGGCCGTCTAGCCCCATTTGTTGTAGTATTGGCAGAATTAGTCAAGGTCGTGTAGACTTCGAATACTTTCACTATGCCGTCTTTCGACCCGCTAGCAATCAGGTCACAACCGCGCACGGATCCGTTGGCCCATGATATATCACGCACCAAGCCGCCATGCCCTCCAAGCTCGATGGCATGATAAAATCGCCGGTTCGCATCTGTGCGATAAATTTTTACAGTGTCCATAGCGGCGACAACGAGGGATAGGCACTTGCTATCCCATCCAGGCAAAATGATTTGCGTGATATCCATGGGGTCGTGGTAGAACTGTACCTTGAAACTGGTTTCCTCACCGCGCGACGGCTCTGCGCAGACTCTGAACTGATCGACCTGTTGCCATTCTGCCAGACTATCCGGGCTGACAGGTTCGAGAACCGTGAGAAGGCCATCACGCGTGATAAGCGCGAGATATGATTCGAGGTCAATGTTGCGGAAGTCGAGCGAGACATAAGGGGCGCGAATAGGGGATGTAAGTCGAAAGATATTTCGAAAGCGGCGTCCGGAATTCGGAGGCTGAGTAGCGTCTTCCTGCCATATCTTGAATCTCATGTCCTCGCCAACGCTGCCGATGTGCTGCCCTGTAAAAGGTCCGTTCCATGCTGCCTTTTAACGGTGAAGGCATGAGCAAAGTTAGCCAAAGATATGTGGCTTAAGCGCATATATATTGAACTCCGAAATCCATGATCAGGATTAGGGAAATAGTCAAGATTCTTTTTCTTTTCTTTCTATTTTCCATTCTTTCAGACGCAAAATACACAACTTACGTCGCGAATCTCAGCGTCATGGGCACGCCATGTATCTATAAGTTCCCAGCCTTCATCCTTTTGATCCCAGACCTTGATGCGATGATCCGAAGACGCGGTCAAAATACGGTTGCCATAGAAGTTGAATTTCGTAACTGTTACCAAGTCACGGTGACCAGCATCAAAGTCAGTAAAAATAGTCATATTGCGGATATTCGGACAATTGTTGTTCTTGTCCCTCCGAATTGATGGGCTTTGAAGCTTCAAGGCGGAGGTTGAGATGACGTTTATACATCACGTGATACTTAGCATTATCCATCTAGAGCCGACCTGCCATACAAACCATCATCACAAAACTATTTATTTTGAATTCATTTATGTTATGCAGCATGCTATCACAGAAGTTTTGGTGGTGTATATTGAGATATTATATTATGAACATGGGTGATGTGGAGAGCTTCGATGAGAGTTTGTGCTAATATCGTGAGATATAATATAGAATGCACCCACCCACTTGAACTAGTAGCTGCCTCTGCACCCTCCCTGCCTACATACGATATGAATGCCTCATGATATCGCTATATGAAGATCTGACGATACTACACAGATTGCTCACTGCTATCATAATTCTTCACTACTAGCCAGTAGTCAGGCAGTAGCGTTAAATACTTTGGTTAAAATCATGACAATTCGGCTGGTTCCAAAGCTCACCCGGAGCTTGCAGGATGGATTGATCTGACCTCCGTTGTTGGTTGACAAGGACAGGGTTACAAGCCCGAATCCTTGGGAACCTGAGTATCGTAGATAGCGCTGCTGCCTGAGCAGTGGCTAATCATGACAACTGCTGCTAGCATTAATATCCAGAGGTTCATTCAGCATATATCCATCTTCAGAGGTATAAAAATGATTGGTGATTGTATATTGATGATTTAAAATCCTAGAAAATTGTAGCCCTCATGTTCAACAATGGGTGAGCTTTTTGAGGTGATATATCATAGTACTATTTAAAAAGCACTAGTAGGGATAGTTATAGAAATAAGAATGAGTAGTATCAAGAGATAAATAGTATATCTATCACTTCTGATGATCCAGCATTGTTGAATAGTTGAAGTTGATTGTTAGGATTCATTCAATGAGTTCGCATGGAGTAAAAATTGTCACTGTTGCTGAGAATTTCTTTTGGAAGTTGTAGACGGCAATGTGTCGGAGATGATATCTCGAACACGGACTCGCTCGTGCTAGTATAATCGCGCATCACCTTCCTTATAAATACTGCCTTTCTATCATATAATTATCAGAGAGATCATAGTCAATTCAATATTTTTGATATTCAGTAATATATGGGCAATATTCGGACATCTTCTAGTTTCCGACACTAGCCGTGCATGATGAGAAGGCGGTGATGGACGGCATAATTCGTCCGGAAGGAAAGGTGGTTTTTACAACTTAGTATGCTTTCGGGAATTTTCTAGAGGTTGGACTTTTGGACTATGATTTCGTGGAGCGTGCAAATGGATTTCTAAGATGAAGGATGCCCTCACCCGCAATGAAATCTGGAGCCTCCTGGCGCTGCTTGTCACCTCTCTGGGGGTTATCACCAATACTTTCCAAGGTGACGGCCAACCCTTAATCACTTCTCTTGCTCTCAGCGGCATAGCCTTCGCAGCTACTTTTAGTCTAATACGATGGCTTGGAGGGGTTTTTGTCAAGGCAGGACTGAAGGGAAGAGACATGGCGAAGTTGCGACGCGTTGAGCTGTAATGATTTTACCGGAACCCCCAAACTCGTCGTGTTTTATGCAACTATCACTAACAATTATTTATGCGACAGACCAGAAGCGATGGGAGCTGTTTGCGCAGTTGTTTATATACTATTGCTGATAGTTTTCATTCCATTCCCATTCTACAAAGATATTGTAGCTGCAACTTCAGGTGGTGGGAATCGAGACGTTGTATTAGAGGTGCAACATGTTGAAACGGGACGTTTTCTTCATCGCTTCCCTCATAGTAAGGTAAGATAACAATCTTAATACCAATTGGATGACGTTATGATTTTTACTCACGTTTGGATTGGCACGATAGCTTGCCTCGTACCTCTCTGGTCTTTTATCGCTTCAATCAATTTTGATTCTCGGCATCGGGGACGACATGCTTGATATCCGATGGCGGCACAAAGTCCTTATCCCAGCTCTCGCTTCAATTCCAATGCTCATAGTGTACTTCGTTGATTTCGGAGTTACCGTTGTGGTTGTTCCGGTTCCGCTGCAGCCATATCTGGGCCCCTTCATTGACCTGGGTTGGCTATATTACGTGTATATGGCTGCTGTTGCGATTTTCTGTCCCAACAGTGTAAACATGCTTGCTGGAATCAACGGGATTGAGGTATCTCAGTCTCTAGTCATTGCAGTCTTGCTCTTAATAAATGACGCTTTATACCTTACCCCGTTCACCCCCTATCCTCATCCAGCGATGGACTCCCACCTTTTCTCGATGTATTTTCTGCTGCCATTCATTGCCGTGTCCCTTGCGCTCTGGTTGCATAATTGGTATCCGGCCAAAGTCTTCGTAGGAGATACCTACTGTTACTTTGCTGGGATGGTTTTTGCTGTTGTCGCCATTCTTGGCCATTTCAGCAAAACTCTTTTACTACTATTTGTTCCGCAAATCTTCAATTTTCTCTACTCTACCCCTCAGTTGTTCCATCTTATTCCTTGCCCGAGACATCGAATTCCACATTTTAACCCGCGCACGGGATTACTTGAACCTTCAGTGACGGAATGGCCACATCCACCCATGTTTATCGTTTCAAAAGCTCTCGAGCTCCTCCACCGACTACGACTTGTGCGGATACGGAAAAACGAGGTTGGAGAAATCATGGAGTCTACTAATTTGACGATTTTAAATCTCTGGTTGGTATGGTTCGGCCCATTGAGAGAAGACAAGCTTGCCACGCATATTGTGATCGTCCAGGCTTTCTGTGGTGTTGCTGGCTTGCTGGTCAGGCATAAGCTTGCGCTATGGGTATTTTCGGAAGACAATCGTGGATTCAGAACATTTGGAAAAGGGCCGTAGACATATATATACGTCACCAATTTTAAAAGTTTTAACAGCCCAATAATTGTATTCATCGATCATATTATTCTTCCAAGTAACTTCTGGGTATTTTGCCATGGCGATTCCGTAGCCGATGACCAGTGCGGGAACTGACCAATCACACTGTTTCCCGATCTGCTGACCGCCGACATCGGCGTTGTCCCCTCTGCGGCATCTTTTATATACAGAGCGTACGCAGTTTTCTGCTCCGACATTCCTGATTCATCTTTCTCTTCAGCTCAACCTGATCTCATTCCCTGGTATATATCTCTTCTAGTATCTGAAAGTACAAAGCAAAAAGCGAGCTGAGCGAGCTTATCCACGATTTTAACCAGCCAAGATATGCCTGCCCCAGATAAGAAACCAAAGACCCTTTATGACAAGATCTTTCAGGACCATATTGTGAAAGAGCAGGAAGACGGAACAATTTTGCTCTATATTGGTTTGTTCCCGCTTGACTGTTGCATGGTGGACTCGTACATGCTAACAAGTTCAATAGATAGGCATCTTGTCCACGAAGTCACGTCACCTGTAAGTTCCTCACTCGATATTACTACACCTAACAGAGTACGTATTTCTAACTATATCGTTGAATAGCAAGCGTTTGAAGGCCTAAAAAATGCTGGACGGAAAGTACGGAGGCCAGATTGTACTCTGGCCACGGTAGATCACGTTCGTTACCAATGCCCCAAGTCTCACAAATTTATTTTACGATGCACTAACACCTCTGGCTACAGAACATCCCCACCACATCTCGCAAGACCTTTAAAAATGTCGAAAATTTCGTTCAAGAGGCTGACTCGCGACTACAATGTATGACCCTTGAGGAAAATGTGAAGGATTTCGGGCTCACATACTTTGGATTGGGAGATAAGAGACAGGGAATTGTGCATGTCATCGGGCCGGAACAAGGATTCACTCTTCCTGGCACAACTGTCGTCTGTGGTGATTCCCACACATCGACACATGGCGCTTTTGGCGCCTTGGCATTTGGAATTGGCACCAGCGAAGTCGAACATGTGTTAGCCACGCAGACCCTCATCACCAAGCGCAGCAAAAACATGCGTGTTCAGGTTGATGGTGAGCTTCCACCCGGTGTTAGTAGCAAGGATATAATTCTCCACGTGATTGGTGTGATCGGAACTGCTGGTGGCAATGGGGCTGTCATTGAATTTTGCGGTTCAGCGATCAGAGGTCTTAGCATGGAGGCACGTATGTCCATTTGTAACATGAGTATCGAAGCTGGTGCGCGGGCTGGCATGGTTGCACCGGATGAAATTACTTTGGAATACTTGAAGGGAAAGCCCTTGGCGCCAAAGTATGATAGTCCTGAGTGGAAGAAGGCCGTGAAGTATTGGTCCAGCTTGAAGTCTGATGTGGGTGCTATATATGATAAGGAGGTTTTCATCGACACGAAGGATATCGTCCCAAACGTGTCTTGGGGTACGTCCCCGCAAGATGTCGTGCCAATCACTGGAGTTGTTCCCGGTCCAGATGATTTTACGGATGAAGATAAGAAGACGAGTGCAAGGCGCGCATTGGAATACATGGGACTCACCCCCGGGACACCAATGCAAGATATCGTCATCGACAAGGTATTCATCGGATCCTGTACCAACTCCCGTATGGAAGATCTGCGTGCGGCTGCCCACATTGTTCAGGGCAAGAGGGTAGCCGCCAACATCAAGCGGGCAATGATTGTCCCAGGCTCTGGTCTGGTCAAACAACAAGCAGAGGCTGAGGGCCTTGACAAAATCTTCACTGATGCTGGGTTTGAATGGAGAGAAGCTGGTTGTTCGATGTGTCTCGGCATGAACCCAGATATTCTCTCTCCCCGTGAACGATGTGCGAGTACATCTAACCGAAATTTCGAAGGTCGACAAGGGGCGTATGGGCGGACCCATCTTATGTCCCCCGTGATGGCCGCTGCAGCTGCCATTGTCGGCAAGCTTGCTGATGTCCGAACAATTGATACTGCCCATATATTGACTCAAAAGAGAGGCTTACCAAATGTTGATATCGAGGCCATCGTTGACGAGATGGATACTGAGGAGGACTTGGAGCGCATCCTTGACGTCCCTGAAGACGATGAACCGCACACTAATAGCTCTACACGCCATACCTCAGCTGGTCTGCCAAAGTTTACCATTCTCAAAGGTGTTGCGGCTCCACTGGACCGCGCAAATGTGGACACAGATGCCATCATCCCCAAACAATTCCTCAAAACCATCAAGCGTACCGGTCTAGGAAGCGCCCTCTTCTACTCCTTAAGATTTGACGAAGCCGGTGCCGAGAGGCCTGATTTCATCCTCAACCGAGAACCATACCGCCATGCCAAGATCCTCGTCGCAGGCGTGAACTTTGGGTGCGGTAGCTCCCGGGAGCATGCTCCATGGGCGCTCCTCGATTTCGGTATAAAATGCATAATCGCTCCCTCATACGCTGACATTTTCTTCAACAACACATTCAAAAACGGTATGCTGCCCATTGCCATCACCGATGACGCCGTGTACAGAAAAATATACGCGGAAGCGCTGGCTGGCCACGAGCTAGAAGTCGACCTCCCCAATCAACGTATCAGTGACGCCTCGGGAAAAAAGCTGGCGGACTTCGATGTTGAGCAATTCAGAAAGCATTGCCTTGTTAATGGTCTGGATGATATTGGTCTCACGATGCAGATGGAGGAGGATATAAAGAAGTTTGAGATTGCTCGGTCACTGGAAACGCCATGGTTGGATGGGACGGGATATTTGAAGCGGGGAGATCTGAGGAAGGCGCCATTAATGGTCCCAACTGCTGCTGTAGCAAATACAAAGGATGGTGAAGTAAATCAGGGCCAAATGGAGTGGTGAGGGGAATTTCCACTGTGAAGTGTGGAGGTTCTTTTAGCTTCCTTAGACCAATTTCTTTTATAAAACAAGGGCGATCAATGGTGGTCAAGAGATTTGTTCTACCCTTGATCATATTCGTCTGTTTTTGGTTTTCCAGGATATCATGCAACATAACCATGACAAGCATGTTCGTTGTTAATAAGTTAATATTATTGCGTTTTCGGCTCTGTCCATGCATCTCAGAAGGAGGAAAAAGTTAGTAAAAGGTGGGGTTTGATCAATTCCTCAAGCAATTTTTTATCCCTAATTGAATGGCAATTCTGGTCCTTTTTTGTATACCTTCAAACTATATTGTTCCCTCCACATTCATTTGTATATTGCTCGCGACTAACAGGCCATGGCATCCCGATTTTGCAGGAGTCGTCAGGATTTTACTCGATATGGTGAGTCTTTCCCAGTCCTTGGAAGCAACGACATCTTCTTGCTAGACACGCCTCCCATCCCTTGTCCCTTAAGTTTATCTTAATCCTAACCTAGCCCCCTGGTGTTTAAAAGATCTAGATAATGAGGCTGCCGGTAACCATAGATTATATATGGTTTAATAGCGGTGGGTGGTGCAGCTAGAGAGGCAGGTCGATGCGTAATAGAATGAGCGACTTGTCGTTAAATATAAGTATTTTTATATCTAAGTGTTATAACGGCCGAAAAATATATTGCTTTCGTCTCATCCCATTCGCATTTCCCTCGGTGCCTTGGCTTCTAATAATGGTTTTCCGCAACAACAGCTGCCTTCCCACGTTTCTATGTACTCCATTTCGTCTGAGGGGATAACTGCTATCGAAATTCTGCCTTGGCTTTTTCCGGAGAGCAGCAATTATCCTAACCAAGATTTTTCGCTTCTAATATTCGCTTGGATTGCATTATCGTGCTCCAGGGGTTCAGAAATTAATGCCTTCCCCCTCTGTCCCACCATAACTCTGAGAGGTAACTTGCCCCTCATCTCACTTGGCGATAGTATCATTTGCGGTATCGGCCCTGGGGCTTCAAAGCTGAACAAACGATCAGATGATGTTGGACTTCGTGGAGTTTGGTCGCATCTCTGGTTGTGAGAGGGCCATGTAAAAGAAATCCCTTGAATGGGAGGCATTGCTGGAGATATTGACTGTAAAGAAAAGAGACAATTGGGAATTAATCACAATAATCCACGCTTCCGCAAATTTTAAGAACTGATTTTGATTATGGTGGGAAGAATTATGCGAAGCGAAGGTTCCAGTAGGCATGAGAGGTTCAGTAGGGACTGTGAGTTGTCTGAAAAGAGATGCCGAATATGGCTATGGAATCTTCATTCAGGGCAGTCATTGACCGGGCATATGATCCAATAGTGGGCGTGGAAGGGCGCCAATGCCTTGGCCCATTTGATCTCCCAGCCGCCCCCGCTGTTGAAGGTTGATCATCTAAGTTGATCATCCAGGTGGGCCAAAACCAACTAGCTAGCTCATCAACCATGCTCCACATGCGTATCGACAGGCGGTGGACGAGCGGTCCCTTAAACATAGTTTTAACTCCAATTTTTCGTGATTTGCGGCTTCTTTATGGAGAATTACGGGAATGTATACCGTATCGTAGTCCTGTTTCGCGGCTCCGCAGTGGAGATCACGAATTTGATCTTGTATATTGAGCTTTGGGCTGGTGGATTTGAGAGGCCAATGAGCTTGCTGCTAACTTTTGAAATGGATCTAGACCTAGTTATCTAACTTATTGTAAAGAAATTTTTGGCCTCGTTTAATTAGTTTCTGGACTTGCTTCCAAACCCCGACCACCCCACAGTTGAGTTAAATTTCTAGGTACAACTTGCGGGACTACGGCTTTTTGATGTACACATACTAGGCCATAAGTATTGGCAACCCCCGTAGCTATCTGCCACAAAAGGGCAAACGATTGTGGTGAGGGTTGCCAATACTTGTGACCTGGCACTGTACAAGTTCCACCTAGCGAGAGAAAAGAGAGGCAAGTGCTATTTAAGTCTTCCTTGGAAGACTTAGCAAAGCTTTATGTGGTCAACCATCTTTGATGCGGGCAATCATAGGGGTTGTCGGGGTGATACTGGATGGTTTTCATTGAGAGTCCTCTGTGCGCCATCGAGTCGGACTGGATATGAAGACGTATTTTCCACGAGAGTTGATGTCCCTCGTTTACAATTCTAATAGTAAAGTAACTTTAAGAACGATTTTGTCAAAAGGCTGCGAGGTTTGAAATAATAAGGCAATAAAGAATGATTTTTTTTTTTTAAAAAAAACTCTTCTTATATCAAAATGCTCCTATCAAAGAAGAAGAAGAAGAAGAAGAAGAAGAAGCACACTGATGTTATTCAAACACAGGTGGGCCAGTTGTACACATGATTTTTAATACCCCGAAGAGCAAAGCCGTGAACATGGAATGATGCACTTTTCTCAGCTCCGAAATTGATAGCCTAGCATATGGGATTCTTAATGAAGCGAGTGTGTTGTATGAGCTTTATGAACGATTAGCAAATTTGAAACTGGGACTTCCATTACAAAATTTCCCATAGGATGATACATGTGGGCGGATCATATCGAGGACTCCACCAGCCAATTATTGGTGGTTGGTGCCTGAGCGCAGCACTCATTAAGTGCCGGACCAAGATTCAAGAATCATCTGTCATTGCGCGGCTCAAGTAAACTAGTTCGACTGCAGTAGCCACAGCGCACATAGTACTTGAGCTGGTGCATCCAACCAATAAGCCTTTGGGGCGCACAATACAACATTAGAAGAGTTGAGCTACAGCTCCGCTGAATTTGAAAAACAATAAACTAGCTCCATTTTTCATAGTGCTGTACATAGTTGGAAATGGCTCCTTGAATAATAAAAAGCTGAAACTGTGTCAGGCGTTTACATACAGCTAGTCCCGAATCGGATGCCAAGCTGTCAAATTCGGGGCCATCACAACTTAAAGTCGACTCCACCTCAACGAGGTCGACAATGAGGACGATAATACAGGATGATTGTTTGAAGACTCCCATAGCACTATCACCATCGTTGTTGCTATTACGTTGTTGGCTCCTACGTGTTATTCGTCTGATTTTCAGCGAGCTGCAAAGGGGAAGCGAGAAGGCACAACAATTTGCCGCCTATGTATTTGACTTGCGCATGTTCCGGCTTGTGTCCAGAGACATAACAAACTTCGACAATATGTTACTTTGGTTCCAATCCTGCCAGCGGTTCCTGAGCCTCATACTACCAAACAAGGGGACACACCCCACCCAACTGGTCCCTGGTTCTGTGCTGGCGTTTGCGGACCAATCTGCGTCATGGACGTCACCTTAGGTGTAAACTCTGTCCGCAGATGCTCAAGCAAAGGTGTGGGAAACAGATCACCGATGAATGAGAAAAAAATAGGTAAAAGAGAAAAATGGCGAGAACTCGATTCTTTTGGGAGTCGTCATATCTAGCAGACTTTTCGACAACATCTGCTACTGCTTATTCATTCTCTGAGTGGCCGTCACCACATTTCGCCCTCCACGATAATGTATATATATATATGTACGTGAGTGTGTGCGCCAGGAAGGTCCGGTACTCAGTCCAAGCGAAAACAACAATTCTTCAACTTACAGAAGCAAGTCAAACTTTTCTAAGTAGTTGAGAAGATAAAATAATCGGCCGTGGATATGAACTTCTTATGTGGTGTCGTTGATTTACCGCACATGTCTACGAAGGTGGGTTATATTCGAGTTCCTCAAGGTCTTCAATGTTTATGTCTTGGCCCAAGAATATGGAGGAATCGAATGGGTTTTCATTGAGCCCCGATTACTCATCGCAATGGCAAAAAGCTTTGCAGTTTGCCAGTTCTCTCTCGCTGGCTGAAAAAGTATATGAGGCGAGATTCTGCGGCTTGGCAGATAGATTTCTATTTTCGGTATCAGACAAATAGTCAAAGTTTCAGAATATCGCGGACCAAGGAATGACAGAGGCGTTAGTACCTAGGTGGAGCTTTTTCCCTTTTCCAAGTTGGAAGATGCATGTTTTGCCCCAAAGCTGGCCTTGGTAATTCCAACCGGGCCGACTCTCTTTCTCTCCAAAGCCTGTTCTTTCCTCTTTCCTTGCCTTGACTTTCCAACATACTGTCGTTTTCTTCGTCATTTTCGGTCGTTTCTCTGTCGTTCTTATCCCGTAATTCCCAGCTTATTCCAGCGCTGGAAGTTGGGGAGCTTGATACAATATCACAGATTATTGATCAGGCAATACTCTCGCTTTCCCACCACCATTCCACTCGTTTCGCGCTTCTTGTATTCTCGCGGCATATGTTAGGGTTTATCGTGGCATAATTATCTGTCATTATCGATGATGCGGCGGTGGTTGGTGGGAGTCTTGCTGGCACTTCTCGCTGCTAGAGCAACGAGTTGGCCGTATGATCCGCAGTTTGAGGGATATAACCTCAACGAAAATAAATCCGCCACAAGCCCCGCAGACTATTACGGAGAATGGTCGGGACATCAATACCACCCGTCGCCGGAGAACTGGCGCTTTCCATTCTACAGCTTGTTCCTAGATCGATTTGTGAATGGCGACCCGACAAATGACAACATTAATGGCACATCATACGAACATGATTTGAACTCGAATCAGATGCGTCACGGGGGAGATGTAGCTGGTCTGATGGATACGTTAGATTATCTCCAGGGCATGGGAATAAAGGTATGTTGGAGCTTTCAGATTTCCTTGTAGACTTTTTAGAACTTGCTAACAGAAGCTCATGAAGGGCATCTATCTCGCCGGAACGATTTTAATTAATCAGCCCTGGGGCGCAGATGGTTACTCCGCACTTGATACTACTCTTCTTGATCAGCATTTTGGCACTATTGAATCATTTAGAATGACTATCACAGAAATTCATAGGCGCGGCATGTATGTTATCATGGATAACACATTGGCGACGTAAGTACCTGATAGCGTCACTTGCTCTTGGCGAAAATAAATAAGTATGCTGATCCATTACAATAGCTTGGGCGACCTTATCGGCTTCAAAGGGCATTTGAATGGTACAACACCGTTTGACACCAACGAGCATCAGGTGGTATGGAAGTCAAGCCGTCGTTACGCGGATTTCCGTATCGGCAACGAATACAATGAGACCTGTGATTATCCAAGGTTTTATTGGGAAAATGGTTACCCTGTCGGCACTGATGTTACCGACCAACTGATTGGCTGCTATGATAGCGACTTTGATCAATACGGTGACATCGAAGCTTTTGGAGTCTACCCGGATTGGCAACGTCAGCTCTCAAAATTCGCTTCAGTGCAAGACCGTCTCCGTGAATGGATCCCTTCTGTCAGGGAACGACTCATGAGACACTCGTGTATTCTGATGCGACAGCTTGATATTGATGGGTTCCGCTATGATAAAGCCCTGCAGGCTACAGTCGACGCACTTGGGGATATGAGCGAGCACTATCGTGAATGTGCCAGGAGCCTGGGGAAACACAACTTCTTTCTTCCTGGCGAAATCACGGGCGGAAATACTCTTGGGGCTATATATATCGGGCGAGGACGTCAACCGAACATGCTGCCAGATTCATTGGAGGCCGCAGTAAAGATGACGCACAGGTCGAACGAAAATTATTTCATCCGCGAGCAGGGTAAATCTGCGCTGGATGCTGGTGCATTCCACTATTCGGTCTATCGTTCTTTGACCCGGTTCCTCGGTATGGACGGTAACCTTGCCGCGGGGTTTGACACCCCCGTTAACTGGGTAGATGCTTGGAATGAAATGATCCTCACAAATGACTTCGTTAATTCCCAAGGGCACTTTGATCCGCGCCATATGTTCGGGGCAACGAATCAGGATGTTTTCCGCTGGCCTACAATTAGGGAAGGGACGCAGAGAATGTTATTAGCATTCTATATTACCACACTTCACCTACCTGGCATCCCATTACTGCTTTGGGGTGAAGAACAAGCGTTCTACGTTTTGGACAATACCGCTCAGAACTATATCTTCGGTCGGCAGGCCATGTCTCCAGCAACAGCTTGGCAAACTCATGGTTGCTACAAGCTTGGCTCTCAGCAATACTATCAATGGCCCATTGAATCTGGTAAATATGGGTGCCATGACGAGACGGTTAGTTATGACCACCGAGATCCATCTCACCCAGTACGCAATATTTTGAAAACAATGTATCAAATGAGGGAGAACTACCGGACGTTGAATGATGGATTTTTCATTCAGCAACTTTCAAACCAAACGTGGCAAATTTTTCTTCCCGGCTCAAATAATACACCGACAGAGACTGGAATGTGGTCCGTCCACCGTGGTCGTTTTGAGACTGCCCAAGATTTTGGCGAAGAATCAAATCTCCCGGTTTGGCTTGTTTACCAAAACTACAACAAAACCCACAAGTACGAATTCGACTGCTCGGACGAAAAAAAAGCCCTAATATCTAACTTTGATAGCGGCACTACTGTCAAAAATTTGTTCTTCCCATTTGATGAACTTACTCTGAAAAGAGGCCCCAAGAAGCTGGGGATTGAGCAATCTCGGGAATTCAATGGGTGCCTTGATAGCCTCGAATTGAAACCGTGGGATTTCAGAGCCTACGTTCCCAGGGAGAGATTCATTCGGCCGCGTCCTATGGTCACAAAGTTCTCTCCCGGACACGATGCGCGCCTGCTATCGACAGTTTCTCCCGATAAAGATGAAAGAGTTCCCATTGAGCTTTATTACTCCGAAGCGATGGATTGTAATAGCGTGACCGCGAGCATTACACTCAATTCAACCACGGATAATGGTAAAATACCATCCATTGACTATAGTACTGTCCAGTGTCAAAGCCTCAACCCCCAACCAACGAAATACATTGGTGAACTCCCGAATTTCTGGCGATGGTCTGCCACTCTCGTTGGTGTTTACAATGGAGTACATCAGTTATCAATCAAGGACGCCCTCAGCGCTGACCGCCGCACCAACACGTCTTCGACGGATCATTTCCTTTTCCGCATTGGGCAATCAGACAACCCTATGGTTTTCACTCGAGCGGCAAATTACTCATCGAGTTTTCTACATAGGGACAAAAAGGGTAGCCTATACGTGTCTCATCACGCCGCTGGGGCGGACCTTTACAGGTATTCCTTAAATTGGGGTTCATCGTTTTCGGATTGGTTACCTTACACGGGTGGCAACACTACTCTCGAACGCCAGCCCTGGTCAGGCACGAAATTGCAAAGGTGGAAAGGCGAACATGTTATTGTTGAATATTGGAATCGTATGACAGGAAGTAGTTCCCATGTCCAACATGGTGACCTTGATTGGCCTCACAACAAACCACGAAGATTCCCTCATCTTTATTGGAACGGTCCTTATAACCAATATGGCTATGATGCTGGACTCAGAAATCATATGGTGCAGGATGACAAGGGAATATGGCGATTCAGATTCATGACGGAGTGGCCAGCGTTAGCTCAAGTCAATGTTTGGGGAATTAACCCAGATGGCAAACCAGATCAAACATTCGTATTCGGTGACATAGATGGCGATTCTGTGTTGGATCGCTTGCCGCCGTCTTCCCTTTCGAATATCGTCATAAATATTACGAATCCCCCGCCACACCCCTATCTTTCTTGGCTGTTTTTATTGAATGACGGAACACTTCATTTCGAATTGTACCCAATCGGTAACCAATACCACCAGTTGGCCTTGTATATCCTCCTCTGGGTTATACCTATTCTGACTGCTGCGATTGGTATCTATGTATTCAAGAAATCCTTTTATCAAGTGAAATTTAACCAGGTCGGAATTAGTGATAAAAGAGGCTTCATTCCTCTCGCTATCAGACGGAAGTTTAATAAGCGAGTTCTTGAAGAATCCCACTCTATGAATCCGCTGGTTAAGCTGGCGAATAAGTCTCGATTTTTACAGTCGACTTCTGCGCTAGTTGCAGATTCGGGCAGCAGACGTACCACTCTAATAGCCACCCTGGAATATCACATTCAAGATTGGGGCATCAAAATCAAGATTGGAGGTTTGGGTGTGATGGCTCAACTAATGGGAGAGCATCTTGGACACCAGAACCTGATCTGGGTCATCCCCTGTGTGAGCGGAATTGATTATCCGATTGACCAAGTTGCTGAGCCCATGACGGTGACTGTGCTTGGGAATCCATACGAGGTTAAGGTTCAGTATCATGTTGTTAGGAATATCACCTATGTTCTTCTCGACGCACCCGTTTTCCGACAACAAACCTCAGCTGAGCCATATCCAGCCCGTATGGATGATCTCGACAGCGCAATTTACTACTCCGCTTGGAATCAATGTATTGCTCTCGCGATCAAAAGATTCCCTGTTGATTTGTACCATATTAACGATTATCACGGTTCTCTTGCGCCAATATATCTCCTGCCTCAGACGATTCCGATTTGTCTTTCCTTGCACAATGCTGAATTCCAGGGCTTGTGGCCTATGCGCACACAGACTGAAAGGGAGGAAGTTTGTTCTGTTTTTAACCTTCAATTAGAAGTTGCAACCCGCTATGTCCAGTTCGGGGAAGTATTCAATTTGCTTCATGCTGGTGCAAGCTATCTGCGTATTCACCAGCAGGGCTTTGGAGCAGTGGGCGTCTCGAAGAAATACGGCAAACGCTCGTATGCACGATATCCGATTTTTTGGGGTTTAAAGAAAGTCGGCACGCTACCAAACCCCGATCCATCAGACACTGGTGAATGGAACGGAGAATTACCCAACAAATCTGATATTGATGTCAACCCACAATTTGAAGCCGATCGACTAGAGCTGAAAAGGCAAGCTCAGGAATGGGCAGGTCTTGATCAAAACCCGAATGCAGATTTGCTAGTCTTTGTCGGGCGTTGGTCGATGCAGAAAGGGATCGACCTCATTGCCGATGTTTTCCCTGCTATTCTGGAAGCACGCAAGGATGTTCAGCTATTATGCGTCGGGCCAATTATCGACCTTTACGGAAAGTTTGCTGCATTGAAACTCGACAAGTTGATGAAACTTTATCCTGGCCGTGTTTTCTCTAGACCTCAGTTTACTGCTCTCCCGCCGTTTATTTTCAGTGGCGCTGAGTTTGCCTTGATTCCATCTAGGGATGAGCCTTTCGGATTGGTAGCTGTCGAGTTTGGTCGGAAAGGCGCTCTCGGCATCGGCGCACGAGTGGGTGGCCTTGGGCAAATGCCGGGCTGGTGGTATACCGTTGAATCTACAACCACTAGTCATCTACTCAATCAGTTTAAATTGGCGATTGACAGTGCACTGAACTCGAAATATGAGACGAGAGCCATGATGCGTGCGAGGTCAGCAAAACAGAGGTTTCCTGTTGCGCAGTGGGTGGAAGACCTGGAAATCCTTCAAAGTACAGCGATAAGGATCCATAACAAAGAATCAGCCAAATCAACTGGGCAACCTCATTATACCCCTTCTGCATACAGTTCGTCCGGAATACTGGGCTCTCCAATTGGGTTTGGAAGCATGACCCCCATGTCTCCAATGTCGCAGTCTCGTAATCAGAGTTGCATCAACACTAACAGGTTGAGCGCTTTTGGGCCACAAGCGAGAAATACTGTTGTTTACCACCAGGAAGTCTGCCCAGGTGCCGATATCGACAATGAAAATCAACCGACCGGTCTCAGCAGGAAGCTCTCTCTCGGTGTGCGGTCTGGTCCTGGTCATACGCGAGCGGCACCTCGCATGCCACGAAAATTACGGAAAATCCTGGCTCCAATGGACCTTCCGGAGAACGTCCATGAAAACGAACCGGACCGCCTTGGTGTGGCTGTGACGACCGATGTTGATGATGACAGCGATGACGACACTGTCGCACAATATTTTGGTGATGATGAATACACATTGACCCGGGAGCAAGCAGAAGCAGGGCGAGGAAACGATATGAGTCCATTTCACCCAGGTTTTAACGAACTAAGAATTCCGGGAGAATCGCGCCCGCCTTCGCCCGCCGGTATGGAAGGCTTCTTGTCGCCCAGTCGTGCTTTGGCTGATTCTGCGAATTGTTTCGGCTCTACCTCTGTTCTCTCCTTGGGATCAGTTGTTGGTGGTAAGAGAGACTTTAAGCTCCAGAAGGTGGATCCATTCTTCACCGACAGCAATGGCGAATTTTACAGGGCATTCGAAAAGAAATTGGAAGATCTTAATAGCCATAACTCAGAATCTGATCTATGCATCGAAGATTTCTTGGTGAAAAGTGAAAAGAAATGGTTCAATCGATTCAGAGATGCTCGTTTAGGCCTCCACCAAGACAAAGCCGGGTCAATATTTCGTGTTAAACGTGGAGGCATTATCTCCCCCTCTCCTTCTGACTACGGCGAAGATCTTGACTCTCGCGCCAGTGATTACGGCAAGGATGGCGACGAGTTCTTGTTGGGCAGAGATTACGTACCGCCAACTGGTCTTAAAAAGTGGATGCAGCTCCGGGTCGGCGACTGGCCTGCTTACTCTTTCTTGCTCGCCTTTGGTCAAATACTTGCTGCCAACTCCTACCAGATCACATTGCTCACTGGTGAAGTTGGCCAGAGTGCCACGAAACTGTATGCTGTCGCGACCACTTATCTCATCACCTCTATCATCTGGTGGTTTATTTTCCGCTGGTTCAAATCCGTTATCCCTCTTTCTCTTCCATTTTTCTTTTACGGCCTTGCGTTCATGTTTATTGGGGTCGCTCATTTTGCTCCGACCGATGATGGGGTGGGTTGGATCCAGAACATCGGAGCCGCGTTGTACGCAGCGGCATCATCCAGCGGTTCTATTTTTTTCGCGCTCAACTTTGGCGACGAAAGTGGAGCGCCTGTTAAGGATTGGGTTTTCCGTGCTTGCGTCATACAAGGCACCCAGCAGATATATGTCGTTGCCCTTTGGTACTGGGGTTCTAAGTTAACAAAAAACATTGCCCTAGGGATTATTGACCCGGATCCTATATCGTCTACATGGAAGTTGACGTAAGTTTACACTTGCCACATGCGCATATATGTCTCTTAAAAATCTGGCAGGATGGATTCATCAGGAATGTCACTAACTGGGATGTAGGGCAATTGCAATACCAATTGGCCTGTTCCTTTGGGGTATCGGGCTATTGCTGTTCTTTGGTCTTCCAAATTACTACCGCCAAATCCCCGGGAAGGTCCCCTCTTTTTACAAGTCTCTCTTCCGTCGCAAGATCGTGATATGGTTCTTCGTTACTGTTGTCGTTCAGAATTTTTTTCTCAGCTCACCTTACGGTCGAAACTGGTCCTGTAAGCCGTTCTCCATTGCATAGTTGGTGATCCTTGCTAATCCATATGTGTCTCAGTCTTATGGAGTTCCAGGCATGCTAAGCCATGGCATATTGTATTACTTGTTTTCCTATTTTTTGTCCTAGTGTGGGCTGGAATGCTTGGTAAGGATTAAACTATATCTTTAATGAATGTGTAACTAACCTTCACTGCAGCAATCCTGGCCTACCTATCTAAAGATCACAGTTGGATATTACCCCTATTTGCAATCGGACTTGGTATGTTGTTATCCAGTACCCTCCTACAGCAATTGACGTTTGGCTCATCATTGCAATTTATTCAGGAGCTCCTCGATGGGCACAGATGTGGTGGGGCACCAGTGGAATCGGCCAACACGTTCCCTGGGCAGGCGGCTATTTGCCAGGAGCGTTGATATCAAGAAGTCTATGGCTTTGGCTAGGAGTTCTCGACTCCATGCAAGGTGTCGGATTCGGCATGATTCTGTTGCAAACACTTACCCGATTCCACATCTGCTTCACTCTCCTTGCAGCACAATTTCTAGGATCCATCGCAACTATGTGCGCTCGCGCATTTTCGCCGAACAAAATTGGTCCTGGTGATGTTCACCCTGATATATCTGGGGGAATCGACACTATTTGGAACGCTTGGTTTTGGATTTGTCTATTTTGCCAATTGGCTTTGTGGTAAGCCTCAAATTACTCATTCACTCCCGGTTCCAAGCTACATTATATGGAGTAAGAGCGTGTCCTAACCCCTTTCTCTAGTGGTGGATTTTACTTGTTCTTCCGAACAGAACAGCTCAATAAACCTTAGCTAATACCATCTCAACCGATTTCGCTTTCTTCTTTCGCTTGAAAGTTTTCCGTTATTTCTTAACCGACATGCGTTTAGGCATCTAAATCGACTGGTTATGGGGGCAAATCTATAACAGACGTAGAGCTTATACTATTTTATTTTCAATGAGTGTTGAATGTTTTCGGGCATTTTTGTATTTCCCATGGCGTATGGAGCACGTTTGATATATGGTTGGCAGTTGTATATTTTTGATATGCGGAACTTGTTGACCTGATTTAATGATCGACATGGTTAGCTAATTATGTCATAAGTTCATGATTGTCAATTGTGTTTAAGAAGGGGTTAGCTATCTATATCTCATTCCTTGATTTTTTTCCGTGTATCACAACGTTAATTTCGAGAAAACTACAGGACAATAGCCAACGAAAAGATTGTTTCTGAGTGAGTGAGCCATCCGTAGAGATGTGTAGGCAGAATTAATATTAGGTGTCACATCTTCAACTTCATCGCGTTCGAAAAACTTTTGCTCCATTGTCTTTTTCGCGTTTCCGAACTTTCAGGAATTCGAAAAGCTGGACTCGCTCGGAACGCCAACGATCAACATGCCGAGGTTTGTGAAAATTAATGCGTGCGGCTGAAAGCCAAATCTCCGAACCTTTTCAATGAAGACATATATATCTCTCTCTCTCTTTTGAAGTTTGATTTTGATGTTCGACCTTTTGCTTCTTTTTTCTTTTTCTTCGTTTGACAAGGCATATGTGTATTTTCGGGCTTGGCTCCTATTCCAAGCATCGGCTTTCCAATAATACCGACTATTTATAGGTTATGGCTATCTCTGCGATAGGCAAGGTACATACATATCCATAGTGGCAGCCACCTTTCCGTCTCTAAACCTCAGAAGCTCTGTCCTAACTGCAGTTAAATATCAGATTGCCGCTACCTTTGCAATAATTATAGGGACAATCTCTACGGTATTCTACAAACCTCTCGTCACCAAGATACATACTCTTCACAATCTACCAGGAGAATGGCATCCGTTTGACGGCGGATCCGCTGACATCCGCTTCTCGGATACCATCAAATACTCGGAAGATATTGTCATCGACAATGATCGCGGCATCGCGATAATTAGTTTTGATCCCGGAAGGTCGGAATGGAATACTGTTATGGTGAATAGTACCCAGAGATCAAAAAAAGTGACATTTTCCCTGCTTTTCAAAGATGCTTATCTGAAGCTTGGCACAGGGAATCTTCAGGGACCCGAATCCGAAAGGAAGTCTCTATATCTATGACTATGCCGCAACGGGAACCATTAAGGAGCTAGTACTTACAGGCTTTCCCGACACGATTGATTTCCACCCCGTTGGAATAAACTTCTTCCGCAGCTCTCCCCAATCCAAGACAAGGCTCTTTGTTGCCAATCATCAGCGGACTGGGACTACGGTGGCGGTATTCGATATCGACTATGACCTATATCAAGCAAAGTATATTACGACAGTATTTGATAACAATGAGACCATTGTTTCGCCAAACTCTATCGCACCGGTTTCTTATACCCAGTTCTATGTTACGAACGACCATCACTATCTTGCGAGGACAAGACCGTTACTGAGTAAAATTGAAACATACTTCTCGATGCCATGGGGCTGGGTCACGTTTGTGGATTTCTCTTCCACCGAACACCTTAAGTGCGAAATAGTGGCCACGAACATCTCATTTGCGAACGGGATCGTGATGACGCCAACTGGCAAAGAGGTCATCGTGGCTTCTTCAGGGCACGATGCCGTCTACATTTATCAGCGAGACTCGGAGACCAATTCTCTATCTAGTACCCATGAAACTGTTCACGTCAATTTCCATCCCGACAACGTCAATTTCGACCACTCTCTCGATATTTCTGACCCCACTGTGTTCGACGCGGACGGGAGGTTCCTTCGCGGGCTGACTGTCGGTGGCCATCCATCCATAATCAAACTCGTTCAAGCGGTCCATAGTCCTGAATCTGTTAAGGCGCCTTCATGGGTTGCTGAGATACGACGAGGCGCTGGAGTAGATCCGGCGCCATGCCCTGCTGCGCCGCAGCAGCCAAAGTTTTATGCGCGAACATTGTATCAAAGTGAGTTTCCCGCTGAGCATATTTATAATCACGAGTTTATTTGTTGCTGATTTCCTGGATAGGCAATGGAGAGCATTTTTCGACCAGCACTACAGGGGCTCTTGATTCCAAACGAGGCCGTTTACTGGTTGCTTCTTTATACGGGAAAGGTATTTTGGATATTTCATGGAAGGTATAAGTAAAATACACGCTCTCTACTGCGCTTATCAGATGGAAGCGACTTTCAAGAGGGCATAGTGCATTGGCAAGAGGATTATTTAAGTGGAACTGGTCGGGCTTGGACTCTAAAGCCACAGCCGATCATGTGTTTAACTTTTTCAATGCTCTTCATTTCATTTTTCAAACATTGTTTGATATGCTGCCTTGATTGTGTCTGTGAATACGATACATCAATGGTGGTGTATAAATAACTCACTTGTGCCACTATCCTTGCAGATCACAGGCATAGACTATCAAAGCAGCAGAAACATTACCAACACTCTCTTAGCTTCATTCAAGAAATTCTAGAGATGAAGAGCAATGGCTTCTAGTTTTGGCTGCATTTGAAGGGGAAAAAAAGCTCATGTGATATCTATTGCATTCTTATTCATTTTGCCCCACCTTATCACAGATATAACAAGTCTTTTTTCTATTGCTCTTCAGAGATTCTGCTTTCACATCAGTCATTGCAGTATTAGCAATGAACAAGTGGAGTGGAATGACTCTCTTTTTATTTTTATTTTTTGCCTTATTCTTTTTTGGACGGAGTCTTCCTGAAATCTGGTATCCATCCCCGCAACGTCTATATCTCAATGTTTGCTTTCAGGAATACCTATCTGACATGCAAACCCAGAATCCCCTGGTTATTTTAAGCTCTTGGGATGTACACTCAGAGTGTATGTCTTCTATAGGCAGTTTCTAGGTAGTTCGCTATCCAGGCCCGACGTTTCCCATTGTCCCCGTTAATTATTGCTACATGGAAGCTACCCATTCTCTGATATGCAACTCTACGTCAATATTTCCAACGGGAATGATGCCTCTCAAAACCACTGTTGCGTACATATACATGGGGTGTTATCGGGGTCTAAAAGAAAAAGAAGGGAAGGAAACCTTAATCGCTACTACTAGATGGTTTGTTTAGCTGTAGTAGAAGAAAAAACGCCCGTTCCACACTTCAGACCGCCATGGACTCTAGGCATTTACATTTGCTATTTATAAGTTGAAGTGTTTTCAAGTATTAAGTTCATAGAGTTTGGCAGTGGTCAGTCATGATCTAGTTCTGATTAGTCTTTGTTGGGATGTTTCTTGAGGTATGAGATACTGACATTCACTGTTGTGTTGTTACGGTAGCAACTAATGTCAGTTAGATCTCTTGACTCACATAACAGGAACACAGTGAACTGCTGTTCATCCCTTATTGTATTTGCTTTTCTTCTTGTCTATGCCTGTTCATTGCTGTTGCAGAACTCATCCCTGAACTATCTAAAGAAAGATGAATTCCACCACATTATTTACACTGCCTATAACCGCATCCCATCAGAAGTTCCACTATGGCGACGCTTAACCAAATCAACATCCTCAAACTGTCAGATTTGCCTAAGAGAGCTGTCCTCAATCAAGATGCTGATGAAAACGGATGCGTTTTCCTGCCGTGGAATCTCTCTGAAGATGGAAAGTCTTATCTCCCACCATCAGCTATTGTTGCCCTGGCTCTGAACGAAGTTGGACGTGCACTTGGGATGGGCACATTCACCTATATCCCCGCCTCCGTGCCGTTCATGCCGCTCTGCATCCCTGAAGTCTTCTTTACTAGCCGTAAGTGGACGGAGCAAGACAAACGAAACTGGGATGACGCATCCCACCCGCAAAAACTACAGATAGTCTCCGAAGTTAGGAGCCAGGAACTTGCTATTCCGATCCGTGTTTTAGTCTATGGCTACCCACAAGGTGTGTAATCAACGATGTGTTTGGAGGAAATTTTCACAGCTCAAAGCTCTTCTACCCCCTTTACTGCTGCTCCATGTGCTAAATGAGAGGGTAGAATACATGTCATTTGCAAAAGAGAGAGCTCGCCTCTCTGGGGCTATCATCACATATGATAGCCGCCCGTTTGTGGGTTGGTATCGCGAATACGCGTCTCGTCGCAACGGCGACAAGGGCCACGTCTCCATCGATCTTCTACAACATGAAGCTTGGTTTAATTCCATGCACTGTGAGGACAATTTTGCACTTGTGCAACGTCTGCTTCAGATGTGGAACGAACCGGTTTACTACGGCGTCCAAGTTATCGGATACGTCCTGAAAAAGCTCGACGATTTGAAAAAGCGTCAGAAGGATGCTGAATCCAAAACCTCGTGCAAGGGTGGAGCTGAGATACCTAGTAAGTCCGTTCCTACCCAATTGATTTTGAATCCCTCAATATTTATTGAATTGTATTTTTTTGAGCATATTTTACTCTACCAAAGCTCAAAGTCATAATGCGCTGACATCTCGTTCGTTGATTGCTTTGATCCTTAGAGCTCAAAACCGCCGGCCTTGATCTGCGCTCTCTAGCGAGATTTGCCCTCGAAGAATGTGATGCTGAGTACCTTGAAGAATAGCGGACTCTTCTACTTCACGTAAAATGCAAAGTATGGGCAAGAGGCAAAACCAACTGAATATTAGAAGTACGTTGTATCAAGAGTTTATCGTATGTTTTGACTTCAAGTTATTGAGAAGGAGCGGCAGTGTGTTGTCTCTTTGAAATTGCTCTATCGCCTTTGGCACATGATCCACCTCTGTGCTATAATGTTTGTTTTGTCTCATGCGGCTGCTTAGTTCCCCAGCTGTTATGTTCTAACTACCTCATCTAATTTCATTCCTTCTTAATATCAGTTCATGCTGTTCTAATTCTGTTCACTCTCCCTTGTCATCCTCTTCTAAGGTGGTTATGTGATATAACAACTCTGATACAGAATCAAACTACTTCTAATTGTTATCTCTTCTTCTTTTCTAATCACTCAGTGGTTGATTGCTACTGGATCTATCTGGTTTTCTTCCATTTCTCCTAGTTCATTTTCAAATTTTGCTCATGAAAGTCAAAGAAAAAGGGAGTAATAATTGTCCAATAATGTTTCTACTCTGTAGAGGTTATAAATATTTTTACTTTCTTCAGTAAAATGAATAAAATGTGACACTTAGCTAGTTGAAGAATTTGTAAATATTCTGAATTTATTTGGTTTTATCAAAAGTTATAGTTGATTTCAGCTTTTGATAATTAACTTCTGTGTGCTTAAGAATGATACTCTTTTCATGAATCATCAATACTAGTATCTATTCACTCATTGTTCACACAATGTAAGTTAATTTTGTTTCTAGGAAATCTAAAAGCATAGACCTCAGACATATTGTACAGTACATTGTCTTATCTTTTTACTTTGTGTTTTTTCACAAATGTCTCCTATGTGCTCAGAATTAGACTTCATGATAACCTGAATAAGGGCTCTTGAGTCTTGACAAGGCCAGGCCCCGGTCCAGTTATTTGAACTGATTGCTAAATGGGGGAATATGAACATCAAACAAACAAAATAGAATTATAAGGGGAATGCAAGGAAATAATGTGTAAATAAATACTAGTCGCCTCTCACTTGTCTCTGTCTGCCGAATTTACCTCTCGCTTATATAATAATCCCAAACCTGCTTAATCCAACGCCTATTTCTGTCTATTTCCACATCCCAAGCCTGTCATCTCATCCCGCCAAACTCTATAGTTTCTTTCTGCTCCCCTCTTCTTCCTTGCATAATCATTTGTCCGCCTTAAACAAGCCTTTTGAGCGCGTCAGCCTATATCGCCTCAATCTATACCAAGGGAAATAAGATAGGTGAGCATGCACTGTGCCTGCCCGCCCCTGTCTTCAATCTCATTTTTTCTCTCCTCAAATAACAGGCCATGGAACCATTTTATTTGCTGGTGGTTCTGCAAGCCACATCAACCTTGCATTTCTTTCTCCATCCCCTCCTCTTCTCTCCCTGACCAATTATTCTCATTTTGGGTTTTCCGTTGTGGGATACCTGGTTAACGACCGCTTTCTCCGCCAACGTATAGGGAAATCTCGTTATTGTTGGCCGTACATGTTGCGGGAGCTGGCGGACAGGTGGGCCCGGAACCGATACTTTGGTTGAAGTGTTTTCTGTTGGAATTTTAGAGGTGAAGAGGTGGAATAAGAAAATATCTTTTGATAGTGGGTTTTATTTTTTTGGGGCGGCCGTTTCTATTTATCGGAGAGGAATCTGGTTTGGAGATATTGGGTGAGTGTATGGTATTAGTTTGTTAGATCGCCCCAGGTTAGTATATCCCTATTCACACCCGTACTCCTCTATGGGTGAGAAAAGAGAGGGACCGCTGTGTTCTCCCGCCTCTGCTTTGACTCAGCGCCCTACTTGCTTCCCAACGAGCAGTTCAGACCATTCGTTTCTTCCGCGGGTCTCTCCTCATAGTGATTGCGGCTCATATAGCTTACCAATTTACCTTCGCAGCTCTGGGACAGTGATAAAATGCATATTAAAGACAAGCTGGCCCATGCGGAGGCCACTGGACGCCCTGGCATTTCCTTCGAATTTTTCCCTCCGAAAACGGCGCAGGGTGTACAGAATCTTTACGACCGCATGGACCGTATGCATGGATATGGGCCATCCTTTATTGACATCACATGGGGTGCGGGAGGGCGATTGTCGGAGCTGACCTGTGAAATGGTGAATGTGGCGCAATCGGTGTACGGTTTGGAAACATGTATGCATCTCACTTGTACAGATATGCCTCGCGAGAAAGTTGACGCTGCGATTCAGAGTGCGTTCAAGGCGGGGTGTACGAACATTTTGGCTTTGCGTGGTGACCCTCCTCGAGAGAAAGAGAAATGGGAGGCTATTGAGGGTGGGTTCCGTTACGCTAAAGATCTAGTCAAATATATTCGTGATAAATATGGCAACCACTTCGATATAGGGGTTGCTGGATATCCCGAAGGCTGCGATGACCAAGATGACCCTGACTTGCTTATGCAACATTTAAAAGAAAAGGTTGATGCGGGGGGAACATTTATTATTACACAAATGTTCTACGATGTCGATAACTTCTTGGCCTGGGTCAACAAATGTCGCGAAAATGGGATTACGGTACCGATTATACCTGGCATCATGCCAATTCACACGTACGCTGCGTTCATTAGAAGATCGAACTGGACAAAAATTAGAATCCCTCCTGATTGGTTAGAGGCATTGGAACCTGTGAAGAATGATGATGCAGCCGTGAGAAACCTGGGCAAATCTCTCGTGGCTAATATGTGCAGGAAAATACTTGCGGCTGGGATCTACCACCTGCATTTGTAAGTTTATATGCTTTCTACTTTAATAGGGCACTCGAATATTAATTTCACATCCATAGCTACACGATGAATTTGCAACAAGCAACCAAAATGGTGCTTGGTGAACTAGAATTGATACCGTCTCATAAAACCCCTCTGCAAAAGCCACTTCCGTGGCGGCAATCTCTTGGACTTGGCCGAAGAGAAGAAGATGTGCGACCAATCTTTTGGAGACATCGACACCAATCATACGTGGCTCGTACTCAAACATGGGATGAATATCCAAATGGCCGTTGGACTGACTCTCGATCTCCTGCATTTGGAGAGCTAGATACTTACGGTGTTGGCCTGAAGGGAACCAACGAGCAAAATATCAAACTCTGGGGAGAGCCAAAATCACTCAAGGAGCTATCCGAGATTTTCGTGCGTTTTTTGAATGGCAACCTTGATAGACTTCCATGGAGCGAGGGGGCTGTTACAGAGGAAACAGATGTCCTTAAACTGGATTTGCTCGACCTGAACCGGAGGGGTTTCCTGACTATCAACTCCCAACCTGCGATTGATGGCATGCCCTCATCTCACCCAGTCTACGGATGGGGTCCGAAGAACGGATACGTTTACCAAAAGGCATACCTAGAGCTTCTTATTTCACCCACAGTGATCGATGATGTTATTAGCCGCATCGAACAAAATCCCGACCTGACCTATTATTGCGTCAATAAAAAAGGAGAATTGAGGACAAATACGACCGATAGTCCTAATGCAGTTACATGGGGAATTTTCGCTTCCAAAGAAATTATCCAGCCCACAATTGTTGAAACAATTAGCTTCTTGGCTTGGAAGGATGAAGCGTATCGACTGGGAGACGACTGGGCCAAGTGCCACGTAGCATCGAGTCCCAGCAGACGCATCATTCAACAAGTGATGGACAGCTGGTATTTGGTCAATATTGGTAAGGCGGTTCTAATAAGACACCTGTTGTTGAAGACTCGGGAAACAATTTTACTAATACCTACTCTTTGAAAGTGAACAACGATTTCCATAAAACACATGACATATTCAACATTTTCAAGGATCTCAAAGTCGAAAACCTAAATGTACAAGTAGAACCCATTGCCCCGGCAGCTGAACTTGTTGACAATACCCGGGAAAATAGCCAGGATCCTCAGAAACAGGTCAACGGCAGTTCAACAGAACTAACTGAGTCCAAGCAAGAGATCCCCTCCAATTAATCTTCGACTGTTCCTCCCCTGTTTATCTCCTTGGACCGATTTATTGCCGTTATCATCCCGTCATGCAATCCTGATTCAACAACGATTCAACAAACGCGAGATATTTTCCCCTACTAAACCACTTATCCCTGTTCGTTGTTTATCAAAATGAACTGCAACCAGGCAAACCACTCCTCCAAATTTTTTTCCTTAGGAATTCAACATAAAGCGCTTCTCCTACCTACGCACCCCCTTCAACCTTACCCGCCATTCTCATGCATATACCCAAGCAGTACACGACCACTTCTTTCCAACGACACATTCAACATTATATAGAGATGAAAACCCGAGAATTCGCAGCACAGCATGGTAACACTGGAAAATCCTCTTGTTTATTTTTATTTTTTTTGTTTTTTATTGTCTTTATCTTTTCCATTTTTGCTACTCTTGATTTTCAACAATACCCAGACAAAAGGCAAGGCGAATGAAGGCTTCGTGGGATTTGGGAATGCTCAAAAAATTAATGACGGCAATGAAACTGGACGGCAAATTATGACAGATCAAGAGAGAAGTATTTGATCCAATGTATTTGCCTGAGAATATGTATTCAACACACATGGGAACATAGATGAAAAATGAACATATTTAAAAAGGAAATCCCTGAACTTCCCCCCACTCCTTTTTTTCCTTTCCCGCCCTCTCCCTCCCTTTCATTAACTATACATTCATTATCACGTATTTCCCTGTTTTCTCCATTTCCTGCTACGTTCGCCTCGAGTTTCAAGCTTCGCTTTCGTTAAATGTATATGAGGTTGGGAGCTCTAGCTGCTACCCTACATGCACGTGGATATCCCCCTTTTCTTACATTTAGGCCACACCCCCGTCCTCCCTGTGGGATTTGCATACAACTCCTAACTTTCATTTACCTCCTCTTAGATAAACATCGAAGGAGGTATAAACAAGAAAATAAGCAGCAGCCCTACTTATTTGGTGATGGTTCAAATCTAAAACACAGCCAACTAGCGCAAGCATTTTAGTTTCATTGGAGTTAGAGGTGGGAAACCGCCGGAAGGGATATCGAATTATCTGTTGCACACAGTAAACCGAACTAAAATTTTATGTCAATATCACCGTAACCAGCCACAGGAAAGCTTTTAACGAGGTAAAGCAGTCATCATTGTATTCAAATCGCCTAAGCTGCCCAAGGTAGATATATGAAACGTGCATGGTTACGAATGAAATGATACAAATCGCATCTCTCCGCTGCATCTTTCAACTCGAGAGAGAATAAATGTACACCATTACTTCCATATGACTCGGTGGCAGACAACGAATGTGATTGGTTTTAAGGTCCGTGAAACGGGGTTATTCCCACTAGGGTCGCTGGTTAGATAGAGCCGGACAGCTCAAGCTCGATAAAAATAATTTAAAAGTGATATCCATCTGGCCCCTTTATCCAACTCAGATACAACTTGGGTCCTTTGGCACAAAGTACCACGGGAATAATATTGCCCAAAGCAGAGAAAAGAAAACATAATATCCTGGCCTGGCTCTCCCGTCTGCACTTTTACACGAAACCCAAAATCTTTAGAGGCCAAGCTAACCATGAAGCAACTGTGGCCAGAAAACCCAATCCTTTTGCCAAAAGTGTGCACACAACAATCATTATAGCAAAGTAAACGCATGCTCGCCCAATGTCTATGACCAATATTCCGGCATCGTTGACATTTCGAGGCGCACGCGGAAGGACGCCCGTTTTTGAAAACTTATGACAGCAATCGCACAAATGCATGGTGACTCTGAGGCAGTGTAATGTCATGGTAAGGAATTGGACAGCTGCAAGGCGTAGGAAATTGAGAGTATGACGCTCACGAACAATATAACGGAAAAATTGCGTTGCAGGTGCGAGGGTATCCGGGGTGGAGCTATTTTGATTGCCAAGCAATTTGCTCCTATTTTCATATTTCATTCCTCGAGCATCTCTTCCTTGGATGCTTTGGCAATATCGATTTATAGGTGGATTTACACCTGCAAAATCCAAATTTACCCCCTTTTTCACAGCTCCTTCGCCTTGGAATCTGACACACTTACCCATGGGCGAAATCGTATTCAGACACATAGGAGAATGGCACAGGCCAGTAGTGACAAGAGCCGTTTGGGCATCACATATTCTCGTACCGGGGCTAACACATCCATTCTGGGTATGAAAAGCATGATACCTGGTGAATGGCACCTTTCTATGGGCGTCCAGTCTTTCTGAGATACGGGTGTTCCCATGCATATTTCGGCTTAGGTTTAGGATGACTTTTCCGGTGTCGTGATTGATGTTTTCCTCTACTCCTCCGTCGAGGGTGATGACGTTTTTGCTTGAAGTTTCGGACCAGTGACGGCACTGCTGAGGATTGAAACATGTCCCAGAATGACAGAGGCTTGCCTTTTCTGGAAGTGTGCTTGAATGGGTGCTGGTATTGGTATCGGGCTTGACATCGGGCTTGGTGTTGTGGCTTAATCGGCGCTGATCTATGAGTGGGAGACTCATAGATGTGGTACAAGTGTTTATGGACGTGGGTGTCATAGTGGTAGTGATTGTGGACAGATTTTCCTGTTCTGTCAATGTGTGTTGTTGACTGCAATTCAGCGCTTCCGACCTCTGGAGATCTTCTGTTTCTCTTTGCATAGATGGTCTCGAAATTTTTCTGGCGAGCCCATGATCGGCGTGTAGAATATGGGCCATTGTCAGAGAATAACATTGTTGGCTTCTCTCTAGCAATTCTACCTCGCCTACTGTGGAGCTTATCGGGTCTTCCTGGAGGGCCTTGGGCTCCCTGGCAGGAAACTTGCGGGCGTTCATCAACTGAAGCGAAAGGCAATGTGGACAGAATGCTGTCCGGAGCCAAGAGGCGTGGGTACATTTCGCGTCTTGGCCCCCGTTTTGGCCTAAAAAAGGCTCTCGGTTCATATCTTGAGCATGTAGATGAGAGGAAATGGTCTGCTGCGGATCCATCTCTCTATTCTCACATGACTGCTGGTGACCGGGATCGTCACTGCAGGGCTTCACCTTTATGCCAGGAACAGGCTTGTCTAGACCAGTTGGATCACCATTGACACAACCGCGGTTCGGAGATTCTCCACCAGAGAAGTGTGGCGATGGTGACTTGGCACCCCTTTTGCGTCCCAGGATTTTCTCCTTGAGATTTTTGGTAAATCGCCTGGGAGGAGTGCTAAGTCGTGGGGGAGTAATGGATCGGGGTGTTGGAAGTGTGTCCGGATCTAGCATTTGTTCACCTTCATGGTGAACACGTTCGATAGTCTTCTGGAAGTCCACAATTTGTTGGGCAGTCATTTGCAGCGGCGATGGCTCCCTTGCGGAGGGCATGTTGACAACAAACTTGTCTTCTAGCTTAGTCAAATTTGGAGCACCTTCTGCCGGGTGAGCAGAAGTGCTCAACCCAACAGGGCCGGCAATGCTTCTCTGCAAACTAGGAATTTCGGTTTGTGAAATTTCATTTCCTGGGGGCTTTTCGTCATGGTCCAAGCTTATCCACTCGTTGCCCTTCAGATGCCACTTCTGGAGAGCGGCATTCCCCTCCTGCGAATCGTGGGCACTGCAACTGCTCCCACCACTCATGACGCTGGGACTTACGACGCCGGTTCTAGGATTGGCGCCACGGGCAATCAACTGGTCATCGCGACTCACTGTACGCTGATGCTTGCGATTGCCTTGTTGTTCCCTGCCACTTTTGGTGACTTGGTTTTGGCGCTGTTCCTCGCGCAGTTTCGCAGTCTCTTCGATTTTGCGTCGCAGACTTGACCAGTATTCACCATACGTCCCTTCTTGACCAGGTGTGTGTCTCTCGACCCAGCTTCCTGGGACGGTAGCAGAGTGGTTGGCGAAATCGACCCTGCTGACTGGATCCAGCACACTGTTTTGTGCTTCAACCGGTATTGTTCTGGAAAAGAGACTAGATACCGAATCTACTCCACACAACTTCTGCCTTCGAACCGTTCCTGATGCGCTCTCAAAATCATGAAGGCTTGCCCCTACATCCTCATCAAAAGTGACTGACTTTTTGTCCTTTCGTTTGCCCCATTGTCGAAAACTTCCCTTTCTCTTTTTGATTTCCTTCCACTCGGATATTGGGGTAATATTTGGGCTGACTTGTCGTCCCAGACTGCTGGATCTGATTGGAGAAGTTTTGTCATTAAGTTGTCTAAGTAGCGGGGGAGGGACCCAAGCGGACCACGAGGAGGATCGCTGGTTCTTCCTTCGAATGCTATCTTCGCGACGATTAAGAAGAGTTGGCTTTGTGGAAGCAATAGAGCTGGATAGGTCTGGGGAAAAAACAGGAGGCATCTTGACATGCTGAATTGCTTGTACTGTCGGCCTAAAAATACTTTGGCAGGGGCAGGCTGCAACTTAGAATCTCAGGCCAGGAAGAAATGAAAGAATGGATATATACACATACGGACCCTGGAGTGAAAATTGGTGTCCGATATATCATACAGATGATGTTGAGGTGGTAAAAGGCTAAAACAGGAGAAGTTATTTCCAGGGAAGGCGCGATGAGTGGACGACCAGAGTTCAATATCAGAAGGTGTGGCGTTGAAAAAGGTCCTGCTTCCTATCGAGAAGGCGATATCAGCCAGGAGAGAATATCCGCGTATGTTGTGTTTCCAAGGTGTGAGAACTTACAGGTATAAACGATATAGACCTTGAATAAACATAAATATGATTAGCTCCTTTCTTGAAGATCCGATTCCGCTGAAAATGATACATATGTGAGCAGGCTCATTCTCGGGGACAGATGTCAGCACCACACAATAGTATCTAGGAGAAATGATGCTTCTATATTTGGCTTAGAGACTGCTCAAAGAATGTACACTGCAATTCTGAGCATATGAGCCAGATTGGAAGGGGGTATAGGAAAAAACGAGAAACCAGAATGTATAAAAAACGTAAATAATGAATATTCAAGAACCGGAAGACGCCAGAGAGATGCTTTCAAGGCAATTAAATTAGTCAGTTGAAACATGTGCAAGAAAAGTAACTAAAATAATGAATAGCAGCAACCGTATACTCCACGAAAAAAATTATGTATTAAAAAGCATTAACATATGTGCAAACCGAGCCGGGGATATTTTTGAGAATAATTTATTTCTCTTCTTAGAACCGTTCGCTATCACGTCTAATCCCACGTCCTGCGTTTGTGATATGAGCAAATTTCTGAGAAGCAGAAATTCCTACTCCGCCGGGGACACTTGATCTTTTTAGCGGACTCGATGGGCGCTTTGCTGCACTGTGAAGCCGATCTCTAGGATCAGGTTCATCGCCACGAGATGCTGGTCTCTGGTCGAAATGGGTCGATGTTGCCTTTCTCAACGGAGATCTCGCATGAGAAAATACCCCTAAGCTTCCACCGTCAGCCGTGGAAGACACAGATCGAAAATGAGGTTGGCGAATGTTAGCACTTCGTGCACGAAGGGGGGATGAGGGATCTGTGCCGTAAGGAGGTGTAGAAAAGTCGATGCCAGACGATGATACGCGGGGTGTTGAAGTGGAAGGTCGAGGAGGCTGGCAGTATTGCTTCAGCGCCCCTTCTGGGTCTATGTGGCTGATGTAATTTGGGTTAGGGCTAATTTTGAAACCCCTTCGCATTGCTGGAGTATAGGTGTTCACAGTATTATACGCCTCATCGAAATTGGCGTTGTAAGACATTTCCTCGGAATGCTGAGTAGCCACGCTCCGCATCACAGGCTGTGTTCGGGGGTGGACATATTTGGTGTCATATTCATTTAGAACTTCTTTATGGACCAGCGTCGAGTCTTTCAATTGTTGCGAGAAGGCAGATGATAGCATTGACATTTGGACTGTTAGGAGTGTCGCCAGAAATAGTGTCATTACAATAGTAACGCTTGGCTGCGGGTCCGCTGCGGAGGTGGGCAGGAAAAGCCAATATATAAAGACATGTCCTGGGCTGAAGAGGCATAATAGCCGTAGTGAGAGCGGATGAGGATCCCACACGCCTAGCTCCCACACGTCCCGTTGCGCGTTTGGATGTGCCCTTGCTTCCGCTGACCCAATGGACAGCACACTAGAGAGAAATCGCATTGGCGACGAAACCATGGGTGATGAGTTCACCGGGACTCGGTGTGCGGAAGGGGTGGCTGGTGCATTGTCGATTGATGCTTCGAATAGTCGATAATGGCGCTTGCGCCAGAAAGTGTAGAACGCGTTGAAGAGAGCGGCAAATGCTAATAAATGAACAACGAACGAAGCCTATTGATTGCAATAAAAGTCCACATCAGTATGCAGGTCCATGAATTGTTGTTCCACGTAAAATACTTAGTTACGGATAAAAGGACATGTCCATGAATCAACGTACAAACCAGCTGAAAAAACTCGCCTCGACCACATCTCCAAAGACGTCATCCTCAATTCTACCATTGCTGGTACGGCTGTTTGCGCGAGCTATGAGGAACACTACATTTAACCCAATCCCTAATGGAATTGACCATTCCTTTTCCCACTGTTCCCAGGCACTCGAATCAAGCTCTTCCGATAACCACAGCAGGAAATCGAGGGGATTCAGGTACGCCTTTATCCGTTCAGAAAGTGGTCTGCGCCGGATAAGTGGAGGCATGATGAAAGAGATACCTGGCAACGAGCTTGAGCAGGCGATAAAGAGGCAAATAAATGCTCGTTATCATTCGCCTAACAAGATGTTGGGATTGTCGTCGTTGCTGCTCTCTTCGTCGTCCATTGATGGAAAGCTCCAATTACATAAGCTGCAACCATCAACAACATCAACTGCTCTGACGAAATACAGTTCTGCATACAATAGCTCAGCTCCCGGAGAACTCGGCCACATGACTTCCACATGTGTGTCTAACACGCATATTATATCTGCGATATCATAAATACATTTTGCAACCGCTTGTCGCATTACCCTAGACGCACCCCGGCTAAAGCGGCGGGCTGATACCATGGCAGCTCCCGCAGGTACATACAAGGTGTCCAGTCCTCAACCCCTCCTCCCCTTTCCTTTCCGTCCCATCCCCGAATTAATGTTCCCTAACGGCAATACCTTTACTAGGATCGACAATTTCTTGCTGTGATAGGCGATGAGGAGTATGTCCCCAACCCAATGCGCCAAACCTCCCGCATTCCACCCTTTGCACAGCTGTATCTAACCCACATCTCTCCTGCCCTCCGATAGCTCCGTCACTGGTCTCCTACTAGCAGGTATTGGTGTAAGTAAGGGGAAAAAAAGTTCCCCGTCCAACGCGCCGCTATCAAAGGGAAATAAGAAAGAAAAAAGAAATCCAGCTTCTCCTCCTGCTCTGTGTCGTTCATTCCATAGGATAAAAAGCTAACCGTCACCAAAATAAAAACACAGCACGTAACAGATCCACCAGACTCACAACGAAACTTCCTCGTCGTCGACGCAAAGACAGAAACCTCCGTCATCGAAAAGGCCTTTCACAACTTCACGGAGGTACGCAAGGATATCGGAGTGTTATTGATAAATCAGCATGTATGGGTACCCTCAATCTTCGTCTCTCCTCCCTCGACTCCACAAAGAGCGACTTGCTTTCGGATAGTTTTCTCAGTGGTAACTATATAGTATACTGAAAAACAAGACTGATATAGGCCTCATGCCAGATTGGCGGAACGT